GCGTGGATCGGGACACCAACAATGGCAAAGGAGACTGGGTTGGCGGGTCTGTCCATGTGGGTAACCTACTTATGAAATGAATCATACATAATTCCCAACATTTTCAACCAGAACATCAAATAATTAGAACATCAGAAAGGTTTTAACGTTTTCAGCTACCAAGCCTGTTGGAGCTTGCCATTCTTAAGGATTAGGAATCCTACAGCTGAGCGCGACCAGTACACCATGATCTTGAACTGCCCTTCAAACTGTTGGTTCAAGTGCTCAACTACGGATTTAATCTCACCCGTGGTCTCATCGTGCTTGATGCGCTTTCGGCGGCATCCATCCTGGAGACATTTGGTAATAGACTTGTAGATCAGTTTATACTTAAGGATATGTAGCCATTATGTTGCTCATATGTGATATGTCATAACAAACATGCATGCTTAAGATGAAAGGCGAGTGGACTGTCCTCTCCAGCTTTGGGGGCTGGCTCCGCACATGTGGACGACTGCTTTGCTTTTTTTGCCTTTGCTCCTTTGCCTGCATGTCCTGCCTGGTCCATTGCCTCCTCTTCACCCTGTGCCTTCTTTACATTCTTCGTTTTCTTCGTTTTGCATCCCTTGACCTTGCATCCCTTCTTGACTTTCTTCGTTTTGCCTGCCTCCTTGACATTGCGTTCATCCTTGCCCTTACCTTTGCTCATAGTGGTTGGGATTGCCGTTGTCTCACTGCTTGGATTCCTTGTCTTTGCTGCTGATGGTGTGGCCTTATCCTTCTGGGTGATCTTACCATCTTCTGGTTCATTGCTTACCATGCGCACCTGTGACTTCATCCTGCGAAGTCTCTTACCTATGGTTTTTGGACTGTTGCTGGATTGCTCCTTGTTTGCTTCAGGTTCTGCCTTTGCTGCCTTTCCTGCCTTAGCTGCCTTTCGTGCCTTTGCTGGCTTTTCTGCCTTGGCTGCCTTTCCTGCCTTTCCCTTAGGCTTCCTTCCTTTCCTCGTAGAGTTTTCCTCTTTCTTTTCATCCTTCAACCGCTGTTGCTTCAAGCGATCCACAACCTGAGCGCACAGAGCAGCTGAGAACCCACATATTGAACTTTTCCCCTGAAAAAAAAACATCTAAAACAGAAACACTTGAAGTTCGGTTGAAGTGGTAGAGACATCAACCTATATCCGGTTCAAGGAACAGGAATGCGCTCACCTTCATCACCATTGCCAGTAGTAGGATCATTGATTTTGGGGCCTTCATCCTCACCCTGAGTGGCTTCGGGGGGGCACCAAGCTTCATCCACCCCAGCATCGGGCACAGCATCGGGCACAGCATCGGGAGCGTAGTACTGAGTTTCATCCGGCACCATCGGGAGAGTCTCATCAAAGTCCATTGCTGGCACAGAAGTGCTGGCTTCCAACCTGGGAAAGAGATGGGTTCACAGGTTTGATATTAATTTTTAAAGGTTCCAGGGGAATACATCTATCCTAAGGTTCCAGGGGAATACATCTATACCTCTTAAGATTGCTGTTGATCAACTTGGATGGCCATATGAACAATGTTTTCATAAAGACGGAAACTGGTCGATGGTACTGACAAGAAACTTCAAATCTGACTGCAACTTTTCCATCCGGGATCTAATTTCAGCAACCCTTGATGAAGTCGAATTCACTGGTGACGCTATCTCTGGAACTGGATCACTCGGAGAAACCATGGGAGTACCAGTACTGTTGGAATTCTGACCTTTGAGTTCAGCAATCCTGGCCTTGGCCTCCATGATTTTTTTGTGCAATCCAAACACACATTCCTGCTCATCAACAGGAAGGGCTTCTGGAACCCACATATCATTCTCAAGCAAACCCGAGTTCCCACCCACAGATTCAGCCAGAGCTGGCACAACCGGGGTTGTAGTAGGTGAAGGAATTGGCACCTGACGAACCCGATCACGTAGATCACACTCCTTAGATTCGCCCTTCTCATCCTCGCTGTCGTCAGGAGCTGACTTGTCCGCGGGGAGGTCTAAATAGAGTTCCTGAGAGGCGGAGTTGCGCGGCCAAGGCCGGTGGGAATTGATAGCAAACACTCCAACATATTGCAACAACTGTATACATGCATGTAATGTAGGGTTCCAAATATATTGAAATGATTCCCATAAAATCTATATATCAACCTCAGCCTGCAGTCAAATTCATTGGTTTCACCGGTTTCACCTTTACCATTTGAAAGTGTGCTGGCCCGATGAACCATGGACAATGTGCCGGGTGCAAAAAAGGCTCCAACTCGCCAAAGTGGGTCAAGAGCTCTCTGAAGTCTGCGTCCTCCAGGGGTAGCTATGGGGCATATATGATCCAAGGGATCTGAACCATATTGTGGATGGAAGAAATCTTGCACCGGATGATAGATGGTTTATCCAATATAGTCCCATTGCAGTTATAGTTATAAGTGTTACCACTATACATGGGCACGAAGCGGTGCAGGTGCAGGATTTCTTCCATCCATCATATGCAAATTGGAATGGAAGAAAATACATACTGTGGTTCCGGGAAAGACCTGGAAATTATGATCTGATTTGAACTGCATGATTGATAATCACATAAAAAAATGGAAACATGCATGAAGAAAGGAACCCTTGTCCCGTGGCATGTGAGGACGAATGTACTTGGCTCGCACATATGACACCAGCTTCTTAATGCTAATCACCGACAAATGAACCGGCACTTCCAACTCTTCAGGGATTGGAGGAAGGTTGTGGGCATCAAATCCCTGCTTGGTAGACAGCAGCTGGAGAATCCAAACTTGGTCTTGAATCGTCCCCATATCAGGTGTCTTGATCAGGTGGTGGTATCGCATATTCTCCATGATTGGGATCAAGACTTCTCTGTTCCACAAGGCATGACGTACATCTTTGGATGCAAGGGGCTGGGTATTGTTGGTTACAACAATGGCACCAATGCCGCCCTCTTTCCCCCTCTCTTGGATGGAAGGCTCCATCCACCAATGCTTAGCAACACCATAAAGGTTCGCCATAGCAAGGCAGCAAAACGTTTTTTTTTTTGAGCCGGTTTGCTCTGAAGGGAACGCCCAAAAGCTTCCAGCAAAAGCCAACTGTACTTGCAAGATAGAATTCATGGCAAGAAATCAAATCAAACTTATTTCGTTTTTCGATGCCCCCCCCCCACGTAATCAGAGCGGGCCTCAACGTGCTCAGCAGCGATGCAATCATCCCAATCAGGACGCATGGTTTCTATGCACATATTTCAAGAGACCCTGTTGGGAATCTATAATATATAGTCTATGCCACATAATATATTCTATGGCACCCATCATATATTTCTTCCATTCTCGATTTGGGGTGCATGGTCACATGCATCTTCCCCTTTTTTATTTCACATCATTCACATCCATACTGTGAGCCTTGGATGCAAGGATCGGGCGCACCTCCAATAGCAATATCGTGAATTGACCAAATTATCTGGTCATTACGGGTAAAATTGTTCATTGATCATTAAAAGGTGTATTCGACCAGATTTTCCCATAATGAACAAAAAAATTTGTTCAAACGGCTTTCCAGGTATATATACATACATGATAATTTGCAAGTATCACTGAATGATCGTGAATATTCTACATCATTACGAGTACATATAAGTAAACATATTTCCAAATATCATTGATGTATTTGCGTACAACCATATGTATGATAAATATACCCCAACATAAGTCTACTATTACACAAAAAATGATATATTGCCTTTGTAACTATACATATATGATATCAAAAACATACAATAACACATATATATATATGCACATCTTATCATCTATAGAAATATACTTATATTAAATATATTACATTGATATCCCAGCAAAATCCCCTCCCCGCTGCACTGAGCACCCAGCGTCAAAGGTCGCGGGAGGATTGCGACGAGGGCCGTCTTTGGATCGGCAATCCACGCCTGGCGGCGCCGGATGTATGTTTCTGCATGTGTGTGTGTGTGTCTATATATATATATATATTTATTGGATATGGATGTATGATATATATATATTTATTTATTTATATATATATATATATATAAAACACAAAAATAGAAGATATTAAATAATTAAACCAGATAGAAGATGCAAAATTGGAGGTGTAAGAAAAGAAACCAAATTGGAAGACGGTCCTTGTCGCAAAGGGTCCTCCAAGAGCCGGTTTCGAGGGTCATGTAGGGTCCTTTTTCACATTTTCAGATCCAATAGAAGATACAAAGAGGTCCTCCCCCGTAAAACCATCTGCAACGGGCCCTTTTTTCGACTTCTGAAAAAACGCAAAAAAAACATCGTTTTTGTTTTGTTTTTTTGGGTTTGATGTTAGTCACAAACCCGGTTGAGGAAAAAAACATCAAATAGAAGATATTGGTGTACAAACTGACCGATCAAATAGAAGATATTGAATAATTATTAATTGGGATGGGTATCAGCCATTGAAATTAATTCAGTGAATATCTTCTATTTGATCGGTCTATTATTTAAAAATCTTCACCTACCTGCCACTACCTGCCACTACCTGATACTACCTGCCACCACCTGCCAATACCTGCCAGTGTTTCCACCTGCCACAATCCGACACTACCTCCACCTGCCACTACCTGCCGCTACCTGCCACTGCCTGCCACTATCTGTTACTGCTTGACTAGCAGCTACTACGTCTAATTGATATGCGCTATTCGATCGTGAAAGTGTGAAAACACTCTAAATGTCAGTCTTCCAGAGCCTTGGCATATCAGACCAAATAGCCCTGAAAATAGCATTGTTTATTTTGTTTTGGCCGCCCGGACAAATAGAAGATCAAATCAAATAGAAGATGGGGGTCAAAAATTACCGACCACATAGAAGTCACCAAAAGTGGATCCACAGCAAGGTCCTCCAAATTGATCAAAATACAATTCCAAATCCCAGCTGGTGAAGTCCTCATTTTCCTCATGTTTCATGATTGATTTCCCTTCCTATGGTAACCTGGGGCAGCACCCGAACTTCGGTTCACCTCCAGGTGCTCGCGGAACTTTCGCTGCCATTGGCGCCCGAGGACAAATTGCTCGTGCCGCGGCTGTTGGGCGCCACAGAGTAGTCCAAGTTGCAATCCCAATCAGAGACCTGAGATGCTTGGAATCGCAAGCTGGTGGAGAAAACATGTGTTTCTGGTTGGTGGTTTTAACCATCTTAAAAAATATGAGTTCCTCAATGGGAAGGATGACATCCCAATATGAAATGGAACATAAAATTCATGTTCCAAACCACCAACCAGCATAAATCACCATTGATCGTCATTCTCTTTCGTTAAGCATCATTAACCATAGCTATGTAGCAAATAACTGGAAATCCCAGGAATCCCTCATGATAGTATAGCGACTACAGATGGGAGATTAGTGCAATGATTCCAACTACAGGAGACAGGACTAGCTACCTAGGTACAGTACTTGGGGCTGCAGGTGGGGTGATTATTTGATGGGTGCAGGAAAAACCCTCAAAGGGGGACAACAAAACCTGCAGTTTCTTGACAGACAGATGACTATAGATACATATGAATATACAATAATATACATACAATGTGGGGCCTTCCAAGTAATAAGCCGGTTTGTTTTCACCCCATGAATACTGTTACATCATAAACCATGGAGAAATTGGCGCTATCTATCCCCAACTTCGCTATCAATAGGTGGTTTCACCAAGATGATCCGGCTACTTCCAAGCCATGGATCGAGGCTTTTTGGATGTGTCCAGCGAGGGAAGGTATGATAAAGACACAATGCACTGTTGGGCTGTTGTTTAGAACATGAAGCCGTCCAACATGGATTTGTCTAATAGGGGGTAGACCACAATATCATCATGTTCCCTAATAGAAACTGCCAGTTTGGGGGGTATACCGGATACCCCGTTTCAGACACACCCTATATGCAGGATCAACATGGATCACTCATGAACTTCACGCGCCTGAGAGTCAATTTCCAATTCAACAAGCAAATAAAACAAATGCGGATTCATACAACCAAAATGTGCGGATCACTTTCCAATGCTCCCTTACTACAACAACAATTTGTCTTCCCCTGATCATGGCCAATCTTAGATACTCAGCAAAAAAAACAATCTTAGCTGGTGAACGTAGATAATCCCATACCAAAAGACTAGTTAGGATTATTTTCTACCCATCCAGTTGATTGACCTAGTGTATCATCCCATTAATATCCCATATATATATAATCTACCCCGTTATCTTAGAATATCCGTTTTTCCAATTATGCAGTTGAACTCGACCGTAACTCCACTTAGAATATGCCCCCATTTCGTGCTCATGTGTTTTCTCCCCATTTGAATTATCAACATATCACCCATACTGCAGCATAAATGGACATAAATTGATATTTTTTGAATTTTTCACCCCACTAATTTTCGGTTGAATTATCAAAATATCACCCATATTGCAGCATAAATGGACATACATGGTCATTTTTTCAAATTGTCATCCCACTAAAATCCTTTGAATTATCAACATATCACCCATACCGCAACATAAATGAACATAAATGGTCATGTTTCATTTTTTTTCACCCCACTAAAATCCACCAAAACACCATAAAAATCCTTTTTGAAATTGTTCAAGCTCACCTAAAGGTACCCACCTTGACCGGTGTCCGAGAACTATGAGAAAAGAACTATTTTGCAATGAAAACTAATGGAATTAGGTGGTGTTCCTGAAAAAATGGATGAATATTTTCACTGGGGACCTATATTCTATGTATATAGTTCTGCAAGGAATTTGATCTTTTCCATGTATAAGGTTATATAATTATCATATACATAATTCCCTTTGGGGAGCAGCAATCCTGGATGTCTGAAGTTCCTAAACTGGAACGCTTCAACAAAAAAACAGCTCCCCCGAAATGATCAATTTCTTTTCATATTGTATTAAAAAAAATGAGTTTTTCAAGCTCACCGAAGGGTACCTACCCTCTACGACCGGTGTCCGAGAACTATGAGAAAAGAACTATTTTGCAATGAAAACCAATGGACTTAGGTGGCATTCCTTCAAAAATTGATGAATATTTTCACTGGGGACCTATATTCTATGTATGTAGTTCTGCAAGGAATAGGGTCCCCTTCATGTATGAGTATTATATACAAAATTCCCTTTGGGGAGCAGCAATCCTGGATGTCTGAAGTTCCTAAACTGGAACGTTTCAACAAAAAAACAGGTCCCCCGAAATGATCAATTTCTTTTCATATTGTATTTAAAAAAATGAGTTTTTCAAGCTCACCGAAGGGTACCTACCCTCTACGACCGGTGTCCGAGAACTATGAGAAAAGAACTATTTTGCAATTAAAACTAATGGAATTAGGTGGTGTTCCTGAAAAAATGGATGAACATTTTCACTGGGGACCTATTTTCTATGTATGTAGTTCTGCAAGGAATAGGGCCCACTTCATGTATGATTATTATATACGTAATTCCCTTTGGGGAGCAGCAATCCTGGATGTCTGAAGTCCGTAAACTAGAACGTTTCAACAAAAAAACAGGTCCCCCGAAATGATCAATTTCTTTCCATATTGTATTAAAAAAATTAGTTTTTCAAGCTCAACGAAGGGTACCCCCCACGACCGGTGTCGTAGAACTATGAAAAAACACTAGTTTGCAATGAAAACCAATGGACTTAGGTGGCATTCCTTTAAAAAATGATGAATATTTTCACTGGGGACCTATATTCTATGTATGTAGTTTTGCAAGGAATAGGGTCCCCTTCATGAATAATTATTATATACGTAATTCCCTTTGGGTAGAAGCAATCCTGGATATCTGAAGTTCCTAAACTGGAACGTTTCAAGAAAAAAACAGGTCCCCCGAAATGATCAATTTCTTTTTATATTGTATTAAAAAAATGAGTTTTTCAAGCTCACCGAAGGGTACCCCCCACGAACGGTGTTGGAGAACTATGAAAATCAACTAAAAAAATATTTTGCAATGAAAACCAATGGACTTAGGTGGCATTCCTTAAAAAATTGATGAATATTTTCACTGGGGACCTATTTTCTATGTATGTAGTTCTGCAAGGAATAGGGTCCCCTTCATGTATGATTATTATATACGTAATTCCCTTTGGGGAGCAGCAATTTTTGATGTCTGAAGTCCGTAAACTAGAACGTTTCAACAAAAAAACAGGTCCCCCGAAATGATCAATTTCTTTTCATATTGTATTAAAAAAATGAGTTTTGCAAACTCACCGAAGGGCAACCCCCACGACCGGTGTCGGAGAACTATGAAAATAAACTATTTTGCAATGAAAACTAATGGACTTAGGTGGCATTCCTTCAAAAATTGATGAATATTTTCACTGGGGACCTATATTCTATGTATGTAGTTTTGCAAGCCATAGGGTCCCCTTCATGTATGATTATTATATACATAATTCCCTTTGGGGAGCAGCAATCCTGGATGTCTGAAGTCCGCAAAAAACAGGTCCCCCGAAATGATCATTTTTTTTATACATTGAATTAAAAAAATGAGTTTTTCAAGCTCACCGAAGGGTATCCCCCACGACCGGTGTCGGGAAACTATGACCAAACACATATTTTTGCAATGAAAGCCAATAAAATGAATGAATATTTTCACCGGGGACCTATATTCTATGTATGTAGTTCTGAAAGGAATTTTATCTCTTCCAATCAAAAGGGTGTATATGATATACGTAATTCCGTTTGGGGAGTAGCAATCCTGGGTGTCTGAAGTTCCTAAACTGGAACGTTTCAACAAAAAAACAGGTCCCCCGAAATGATCAATTTCTTTTCATATTGCGTTAAAGAAATGATCTTTGTCGTAGAACTATGAAAAAAATATGTTGCAATGAAAACCAATAGACTTAGGTGGCATTCCTTTAAAAAAATGATGAGTATTTTCCCTGGGGACCTATTTTCTATGTATGTAGTTCTGCAAGGAATAGGGTCCCCTTCATGTATAATTATTATATAATATACGTAATTCCCTTTGGGGAGCAGCAATTTTTGATGTCTGAAGTCCGTGAACTAGAACGTTTCAACAAAAAACAGCTCCCCCGAAATGATCAATTTCTTTTCATATTGTATTAAAAAAACGAGTTTTTCAAGCTCACCGAAGGGTACCCCCCACGACCGGTGTCGGAGAACTATGAAAAAAAAAAACTAGTTTGCAATGAAAACTAATGGACTTAGGTGGCATTCCTTCAAAAAATGATGAATATTTTTCACTGGGGACCTATATTCTATGTATGTAGTTTTGCAAGCAATAGGGTCCCCTTCATGTATAATTATTATATACGTAATTCCCTTTGGGTAGCAGCAATCCTGGATATCTGAAGTTCCTAAACTGGAACGTTTCAACAAAAAAACAGGTCCCCCGAAATGATCATTTTTTTTATATATTGAATTAAAAAAACTGAGTTTTTCAAGCTCACCGAAGGGTACCCCCCACGAACGGTGTCGGAGAACAATGGAAAAAAATAGTTTGCAATGAAACTACTGGAATTAGTTGGTGTTCCCAAAGGAATGGTTAGCTATTTTCATTGGGGACCTATATTCTATGTATGTAGTTCTGCAAGGAATGGGGTATCTTTCATGTAAAAGTATAAGGGTATATATCAATATAATATATCATATACGTAATTCCCTTTGGGGAGAAGCACCCCTGGATGTCTGAAGTCCGTAAACTAGAACGTTTTAACAAACAAAAAAAGGTGCCCCGAAATGATCAATTTCTTTTCATATTGTATTAAAAAAATGATTTTTTCAGGCTCACCGAAGGGAAGAATTCGTATGGAAAAAAATGGAAAAGTGAAGAATTTGTATAGAAATGCGAAGGATTTCTTAAATATATATATATATATAAATACATGGAAAAATGATCAATTTGACTGAACAAGTGAAAGAATTTGTATGGCAAAAATATGGAAAAGTGAAGAGTTTGTATTTGTATGGAAACGTGAAGGATTTATAAAGAAAAGTGAAGAATTTCTATGGAAAAATGACGAATTCGTCTGGAAAAGTGAAAGAATTTATATGGCCCAACGATATTCTAAGTATAGGTTTTTTGACGTCAACTGTATTCTAAGTAAATGTTTTCAAGTTCAATTATGGGGATGCCCTGGGAAGCCAAAATTTCAATTCTATATTCTATGTGGGCGGGGTCCATTATATATATATATATCCATTAATATCTATCATTAATGACCATTTACCACTAATAATTCATCATTTAATGTTATACCCATTGACTGCTATGTTTACTCCGCAAGGAAACATCATTTTGGCCCAGGCGCTCCGCGATCACTTCCGCCATTTGGGCCTCGCACATACCTGGCACCGCATGAAGGGCATCAATGTCGAAACCACATGAAGCCACAAGAGTCCCCATGAAAGTCTAAGAAGGAATACAAATATGTAAGTACCATGAACCCATAGCCTTCGCCAATATTCTAGTTATAATTTACACATGATTATCGTATAATTCACCATAGTTACCACATTCGGAACATAGAATTACCCTATCATCATTAATATGATGATCATAAATACATAAAGTTACCAAATAATTGCCTATCAACCCATAGGCTCTTTCCTGAAGATCTCCCTGACATCATCCTCTCGGCGCCGCCATCATCGCCGTCGTCGCCTTGCCCTCCAGCGAGGGGCGCGATCCGCACGCGCGAAGGGGCTCTCGGGGGCGCGAGCCAAGCCAAGTGGGGACCTGGAGACGATCAACTGGAGTCATTGGGACAGCTGTCTATGGGTTGTGATCATATTAGCTATTGAAAATGGCCCAGTCGAAATAGTGGATTTACCCAGCTATAAAATGGTGATTTTCCATAGTTATGTGGCTGCTTAACAGAGGGTAATCCCTATGGATCCAAATAGCTTCTTAGGAAGTGGGCCGGGGTATGATTTGGGGGGTTAAGTACCTTCCTAGACGGTGTTTGGATCCACAGGGGATGATATGGGAATAGATCATTACATCTCTGGTTGGTGGTTGACCTACCCCTCTGAAAAATATGAGTTCGTCAGTTGGGATGATGACATTCCCAATATATGAAAAAATAAAACATGTTCCAAACCACCAACCAGATCTATTTGAAAAAGAAAAGAATTGGCATCCACCTATTTGATCCCATTTTTGTATGTTCATAGCCATATATGATAACAGATGATATTCGACGATATATTATGGGATGATATACAAATATAGAATGTGAAGCACCCGTTTACGATAGCTAAGTTGGTGAACATAAGTTCAACAAGTATGGTTTATGACACTTTCACCTATACTATTCATGGGGTTTACAAACCAACTTATGACTGAGGAGCCCCACATTATAGAAACACCCATACGGGATAATAAACTATGTGGGATAATCATGGATAATCTTTGTCTGTATGGGAAAATTGAGAAATATCCCTGATAATATGGATATGATATTAGATAATTATATGGGATAGTTACACCTATATTATCTATATGGTTGTAGATAAGTATGCATATGGATAATTGTAAATGGCTATACCAGGTAGGACCCAGCAGTTGTGTTTGTTGTTGGTTGCATGGGACTTTATCAACCAGAAATGGTGATTGTATGGGACTTAACCGGTCATCTAATGTGATCTTTACGTAAGTTTGTTGGTTTGTAAACCCCATGAAAACTAGTTCGTTATATCCTTCATAAACCAGTTAACCACGTTCCGTCAACTTAGCTATTGTTTGGGGGCCCCACTTTGAATGTATAAAATGAAAAGGTATGTATGATCGTATTCTGGAACTTATGTATGGGTATTCCAGGGTTTGAATGTTATATGTTCATTCAAAAGCTATACATGTACATATTCATTCATTTAAAATATGTATATAATACATTCACATATATATATACAGTTGTTGATATATGTGCCATGGATCGATCATTAATTGTCATTCTATCACAAGAAATGCGGTAATTGAGGATAGTCTATAAGCGACACTTTCTGGTAGAATTGGTGCAATGTGTTTTGCATGGTACTATGGTCAAGCCAGCCATAAACCGAACTCCCTGTAGTGTGGGAAACCCCAAGAAATCTTTGAGATCCGCATGGCACATGGTCATCCAACGAATTTCTGAATTACCACAATGCTCGTGGACAAAAATGGCTGCTATACATCCTCACTTTGTTCTGTGGTTACATAAACTACAATGTGGTGCCCCAGTTTGTTAGCTGAGTTTGTGTATAGGTCATAAGATGATTGGTGGTGATGAAAGTTATAGTTAGATGCGGTAACATAAATTAACAAACACAACGTTTTGGGTCACCACCCTGTAGTGTTGGTTCATCTTCCCAGTTACAAGTAGGTTTAGAACCTTCATCAAACTACAGTCATACTACGTATTCAAATATATTCACATATATTCACACATATTCACATATATTCACAGATATTCACAGATATTCACAGATATTCACATATATTCACATATATTCACATATATTCACATATATGCACATACAGGCACAAATATGCACAGATATTCACATATATTCACATATATTCACATATATTCACATATATATATTCACATATATTCACATATATTCACATATATTCACATATATTCACATATATTCACATATATTCACAGATATGCACATATATTCACATATATGCACATATATTCACATATATTCACATATATTCACATATATCCACATATATTCACATATATTCACATATATTCACATATATTCACATATATTCACATATATTCACATATATTCACATATATTCACAGATATGCACATATATTCACATACATGCACATATATTCACATATATTCACATATTCACATGTATTCACCTTTATTCACATATATTCACAGATATTCACATATATTCACATATATTCACATATATTCACATATATTCACATATATGCACATATATTCACAGATATTCACATATATTCACATATATTCACATATATTCACATATATTCACATATATTCACATATATTCACATATATGCACATATATTCACATATATTCACATATATTCACACATACTCACACATATTCACATATATTCACATATATTCACATATATTCACATATATTCACATATATTCACATATATTCACATATATTCACATATATTCACATATATTCACAGATATTCACAAATATTCACAGATATTCACATATATTCACATATATTCACATATATTCACATATATTCACATATATTCACATATATTCACATATATTCACATATATTCACATATATTCACATATATGCACATATATTCACATATTGGTGAACTGAACCATCTTTGCGATTTAGCTCACTGGGGCAGCAACTGCCAGTATCAAACTTCTCCAGCCTCTGCCAGGGAATCGATGGCTCATCAGCATGAGCTTCTGGAACAGGCACCTTTACAAGCTCCATTCTCACAGGTTGCACATACATATATATGTATATATATTATAGTTTGGGAATCCATAGGTTTGTAAAGTGATATATTATAATCATGTTATTTTGTTTTTAGTTATTTAAGGCATTGGTTACTAGTTGGTTATATAATGACAAAAAAACTGATATATGGAGGTTTCTTCAAATTGGTGATCCCCAAGTCACCGTTGGTTCAATACCAAAATGATTTCATGACTTGGATGATTTGGAGATACCACCATTCTAGGAAACTTCCATATATATATATATACATATAACTATATATTATATATATAAATAATGTATATATATAATATGTCTATATATATATATTCATACATATAAATAAATAGATATATATATGTATATATAAAACATATATATATATATATATATAATATATTATATTATATATATACAGTATGTATATATATATATTATATATACATATATATATATATGTATGTAATATAGCGTTTGTCTAAACATGGGGTACCCAAAAAAATGATGGTTCATCGTTATTTTGTTACCATCTCTTCAAATTGACAGACCCCTGGGGGGTGGGATGGAGTGGGTTTCTGTTAGAACTATTTATAAAACCCTTAGACCTCTTTAGAAAGGTTTATGCAGGGCTTTGGATTTATTTTTATGGAGAGCCGTTTTGTTTAAGGTTTAACCGTTTAACCCTAAAACAATGTGGTCTTCTAAGGTTGTTTTACCAGTAGCTGTGTTTTAACAAAATATAAGCGTTTTGAATGGTAGCGTATTCACATATTCCTATTCGGAGTGGGTTTGGGGCCCCAGTAAGACCCAGTGTGTCTGATCTAAGGGCGTGAAGTTCTGTTCCCTCATGTCGCATGAAAGTCTGGGAGATCACTCAGGTGGAAATACTGCACTATGTCCGCCAACTACCCTGTGGTAAACTAACAGTTTGCTATTGAACATGACCATAGAAATAATGGATTTACCCATTGAAAATACGAAAGCAATACGAAACCCTCGTATATTATCAACTGGTTGGTGGTTTTAACCAGCTTGAAAAATATGAATTCGTCAATGGGAAGGGTTATCCCATATATGAAATGGAAAATAAAAAATGTTTGAAACCACCAACCACTAGTAATTCTGAACATCAGCAGAAGAAAGGTCAGTTCTCGTAAAGGTTGGACCAAGGCTAAAGGGGATCCATGGATGCATTTAGAAACCTATCACTGGGGTACTGGTGAACTTCCTCACGGATTGAGTTTCAACCATCACCTGGTGCTCCAGCCCGTTCTTGTGTGGGACTAGGCATCGCTTTCTGGAAGACTGAGAGTTTCATATATGTCAATTCTGCGATTAAGAAGGAAGTCATTTCGCTCTTCATGTCTCCGATGTATCCTCTCATGGCTTCAGGATGTTTCAGGTACTCCAGTTATGGCCATTTATTAGTTATAACTGGTTATAAATGGGATTATACATTCTATAAATGGGGTTTTCTTAGTACTTATAACTGGTATAACTTGGGCCATAACTGCAGGTACTCATCGACAGTCAGAGTTGAGCCGTTGAGCACCCCGCTTTCGTCGTCTTGAACTCAGTCCAGGGAGTTCAGTTGAGATTCGATTCTCGCTGTCCGACTGGGATCCCGATTGACCTGTCCCCTGCATCCCGGGTCAAGAAGGCAGGAGACTCGACCGCTTTCCATCCCAAATCTTCCAGGTCCTTTGAGCATCACAAAGTCTCGCGGTCTCGCTGGATGACACGATGCCTGTTTTGAGATTCGGAAGATACGAAGTTTCGGAATGAGAACAGCCAATATTTTCTGATCTCATTGCAGTGCCCATGCGCCAAGCCCCACATCTTGATTGATCGGATTTGCCCTATGACATAGGAACCGATAATTCTGTTTCAGCGCGAGACAATTTCTCTCATGAGGCTATAAACTATCCGAACCCATGTCAACCTGAACACTTCTTTTCCATGGTAACGTGACTGCTAGAATGATGTCATACTGACATACATTCACTTGATGAATTCATGCGTTACAAAAATTAGCCACATAGTACTTGATTTTGTTGGTAATCAATAAATCATTTTCATACAATGTATACAGTATACGCAATTATCTCATCACCACATGCCCCACCTCCCGGCGCATCAGCATTTCAAAGTCCATCTCGGAAAAGAAGGCGTGCTCCTGGCCCGATTTGATGTGGAAGTCTTCGGGGACCCCCAAGGGTGGAGATATAACTGGGGTATAACTGTAACACTTATAACCAAAAAGAACAGGATTTAAACAGTTATGGTAAAAAAGTTATGGAAAAAATGGGATACAATGGGATATAAACCCACCCATTGGGAATATGTTTAAACAACCCTTGCATGGTCATGTCGGGGATGGTTTTGGGCTGTTGGGGTATGAATCTTCCTTGCAATTCCAACGACCTCCCCTCTTGGGGAAAACTGCAAGGCGAGGATTTGCAATGGTAAATGCACCCGTTGTACCCTCCGGTCATCAAATTTCTCAATGGACAATCCACCATTGACAGAAGATTTTCCAACGGAAACCTCCATTTTTCATGGGGATGTTGGGATGTTCCCATACTTAGATTGGCTATAGGATTAGCGATTCCTGGTTAGTAACTGGGGGAGAAACCCCCTATATCCCAATTATAATCCGTTTACCGTATCCCATATGTTCCCATGATTTTACCATATTCATAATGGGATTTTCCCAGCTAGCACGTTTTCATCGTCTATTTCTCTTGATTTTCCCATCGGGTTTGCTGAGTTTGGATGGATTTCCCATTGAATATCCCATGATACCCCTGTGAAATACCAACATATCCCCGATTGAAAGCCGAAATCCGATTCACTTTCCCAGCTCCGTAAAGCTCCGAAACATCCTGCCTTGACTTGTGCCGTGTGATGAGCACCCAAACGCTTGTTGGGCTCTCGTTCCATGGTGGCCTAAGTGGTTTCTGGTCACCCTGGTCACCCTGGTCACCCTCCACGGGACCCGTCACCGGGATCTGAGTTCATACGGCTCATACACCACATGGTGCCCCAGTTTGTATCTCATACAACTAGGGTTTATGGTATTTTTCTTCTAAAATTCCCATCGTTGATGCTTAAATCCACTATTTTCCATCGTTTCTCTGGGTGAAATCCACGATTTTCCACCGTTTTGGTTGATGAAGCTCCCCATTTTCCCACGCTTTCCATCATGGCTTCGGAACCCTTTGCCGACCTCGATAAAGGCACGGGCCACACGCGACACGTACAACGGCACCTCGCGCCACCAGGAGGTGGTACAAGGTGAAGCCAACTGGTTGGTTGATACAGTGAAATGGCCATGGCTATTAGTTATAACTGGTGATTTCTATGGGATAAAATACATTCTATAAATGTGGTTTTCTTAGTACTTATAACTGGTATTTTGGGCCATAACTGTAGGTTTCCCTACTGTGGGAAAACCAATGTCATAAACCACCCATGACTGGGAATGGTGTACAGCACCGATAAAAAATGTGAATTGGGGGATGATTTATTGTTGTTTTAGCCACATTGTGGGTTATCAGAATCCCCAGCAAACTAGGTGGTATAAATATGTATAAGTCCCTAGTTCGTAAACAATCAACCAGGCTATGTTTAATGGTTGAAATCACTTGGTTAACTGTGTTATGGGGAATCGAACTGTAAGTAGAGGGGTTTGTAAACCAACTTGCAACTGGGGGCCTCACCTTGTACATGTACCAACTTTTACCACTGGGTTTGTGATGACTTGAAGTTTAAACGGGACAAACACACACTTTAAGTTGGATTGAGTTGGACTTAAATGTTATTCTGGTTGGTGGTTTCAACCCCTTTGAACAATATTAGTCAATGGGAAGGATTATCCCATGTATTATGGAAAAGAAAAATGTTCCAAACCACCAACCAAACATTTTTTGGGATAACCAACCAGTCAATGTGAATATTTGGAATATGAGCAACAAGATATGGTGAGTTAACGTGCAAGAATCCCATATGCCCTGTGAGTCATAACTGGTTTAGATAACATGATTTATAGAAGTGACATATAATCAAACAGTTGCAAGAATTAGTTCATCCCATTTAAAACTGTTAGTTGGGCTGTAAGTCTGAGGAGGAGAGAACTATCCTAACTATTTTTGTCGATCATTGGATGCATCGCTTGTGACAATGCAGAATGATACGGTCATGGTTGGTCACCTGAGACGGTTCATGGAACCCGACTTGGGTGTCGCTGAATGTCGGAAAGACCGGGATACCCCAAACATGTGAAGAACAGTATGATCAGCGATTTAAAGCCCAATTTAAAACCATGAAGCCTCTGAACACCATTCTTTTTCCCCACCTGCCAATTAGGTGAGGGTCTCTAGATTTTAACAAAGGTGCCACTCCTCCTCATCTTCTTCTTCTTCCTCCTCCTCTTCCTCCGAACAGCATATCGCCAGCTCCGGATGCTGTGGGGCACGCCTGGACCCGAACACTTGCCAGAGAGAATGCCAGATAGAATGCCAAACAGAATGTCAGAATAGATGCCAGGCAGAATGCCAGAAGAAAATGTTAGAGAGACCGGCAAGATAGTGTGTCAGAACACATGGCAGATAGAAAGCCAGAAGCGAATGTCAAAACATATGCCAGAAAGCATGTCAGAATAGATGCCAGATAGAATGTCAGATAGAATGTCAGAGCATATCCAAGGAAGAATATCAGATAGAATGTTGTATTGATATATATATATATATGTCATATACACTTCCAAACATTATGTCAGAAACTATGTCAGAATGGGGGGGTGGTAGCCTATTTTCAGCCGAGGGGATGCTTTATCGCTACTGTATCTGAGGTGGGACTTCTGATTGCTCAACATCTGATTACAGGGGATGGGATTACTGCTTTAAAACCCACCTGAAATGAAAGTTCATGGTTTCATATTAGGGAATGTGAATGAATATGATATGCACCAATTTACGATTGTTTTAATATGGAGAATAGATATGGTAGCTGTTGGGAATTGGGATGTTCGAGCTAGAAATATGGTCAAATGGTGCTTTAGTCAGTGGCAGAAAATAAAGCATAGAGGTCTTTGTCACCAGCACACCAAATCAAGTCATGGAATGTACGTGTATTGTATATATATATATATACGTATATACAATTACACACACACACATAGAGAGAGAGAGAGAGACATACCTCAATACTCCAAACCAACACAAAACTAAGGGTATTCTTCCTCGGTAGTATATAATATATACACAATGTGGCAATGTTCACATCAACCTACCTTGAAAAACTCCCCAGCCACGGTTCTCCCAGCCATTCCGCACTGAAGAAAGCCAGTCCCAGCTGCCTCTAGTCGTGCATGCTTGATGTTGGCGAACAAGGTTTCCCTGTCGTGATGGTAGAACCTAAGCAAGGTGCCATGATGCAAAAACGGCCCTGAACAATTTTGAGCTTGTGGCTTGGAGAGAGAATGGGAACATAACAATACATCGATAATCACAAATAGGAAATATAACCGACAATATGGGGATATCATGGTACATCATGAAATATATAACCAGCATTGAACTGACATAATTGGGTGTGCCTGAATATGGGTGAAAGGATTAACCCCCAAATCAAAAGGTATCTTTTAAGACGCAACATGATGACTAATCAGTGGATGGAACAGGGTTTCCTCCTAATGTTTCAAGTACCAAACCAAAATCAGTGTGGAAACAGTTTTAAACTTAAAATTCATGAAATACAACTACCCTTTGGTAAACTAACATAGCTATTGAAAATGGCCATGTATAGTGAGTTTTCCCATTAAAAAAATGTGATTTTCCATAGTTATGTTGGTTTACAAGAGGGTAAATAAGAGTTTATAGATACACAACATGCCCTAGTTTTTTTTGGTCAAGATGTCTGAGCTGACCGTGTCGTCAACTGGTAACCACAGACTTCGGAAAAAGAAAAGGAGCAACTCAGAGGACAACTGGGGATGGTAAGAAACATCCGCATCTTTGTTGTTCAGATGTAGACATACATAGACAAAGCCTGTGGAGGGTGGAAGAAATCCTGCACCAGTTGAGGCAGGTGCTTTATTCAGCCCATGATTTTAAGGATGGGTTTCAAGTTTCAACCCTTCAAAAAGTGCCATGAAGGGATAGAACTGATCAAGTTTCAAACGCCCAAGGTGGTGCAGGGTTTCTTCCATCCACAGTATGGAGGTTTCCTAAGTCATGGGGGTACCCCCAAATCATCCAAATTAGACTATTTTAGTATTGAAATCCACCATATATCACTGTTTGCCAGAAATCCATGGGACTTTCATATTAATTAACTGCATTCAGAAAAACATATATTCATGGATCATTTTGAGCTTCATGCTCTCACCATAATCCTTGCCAGTGAAAAACGCAGATATGAAAAATCCACAATGATCATTAATCTAGGCAAATTATAATAATTCACTAACCTGCAATAAGACAATTTTGGGATGATACCCCTTCTTAACCATGATTCCAGCGAGGTTGCAGTGAGGTCGTTAGAATTTGCCCAGAATTAATGGCTGAACTTCCCCCCCAGAGAAAAAACATCACAGGCTACGTGCGGACGGAGGGGCGGAGGAAGACCCGTGAGCATGTCGTACAGAAGCACACCGAGGTTGTAAATATCCACCGTGTGGTTGTGACCTGCAGGAATATGGGTCTCGAAACTCCGAATACACTAACATGCTCCCTAGTTACTATATAAACCCATGCTAGCTGTTATACTCACCATACACTCACCATAGACCCACCATAACTCCAACATTTATATATATATATATATTATAGATATTAGACTAGAGAAAATCAACTTGGCGAACAAATTGGGGTACTATCCTGTAGGCAACGTCTTTTGATAACACGTTCCAGATTTTGGGCACCCTATTTTGTCCCATGTCATGGGAATGTAGCAATGGTTGGAATTGCAGTCGTGTAGATCTCATCATCGCCTGGGCTGGAAACACGAAGATCTGAGCTAAGCAGCGGTGTTTCAATGTTCACATCCCTTGGATATAGGGTAAAGTCCTGAGATCATTTAGCGCAAGTGAGGTCAGTGAAGTTGCAAATGAATTTGCACAGATTATTGATTACAATACCATGGCTCATAAATCTTCATCTTGTATGGCCAAATCATATAAAATTGCATTTTATGATACTTGAAATGCCAAGGTTCGGAGCTTAATTGTTCGAATTTTGATGCAGCATTCCCATGTATTTCCATGGATAACTCTTAACGTGTGATGCTTCAAAATTCATTTGTTTACAGTAATCAACATTACTGTATGTTTCATGGTTAAGAAACAACTCTTAAGTCTTGGATGTAAAAAGAAAACAACTGCAAACTCCGCAACTTTACCAAGTCCCCTAGTGGGTTTTTCTGAACATGGTGCCCAAACCCCAAAATCTCATGGGTTTAAACCTCAGTTTTTGTTTGTACAAGTAGTATCTACACAACTGTTCATGGTTTGCAGGTATATGTTATTTTTTGATTATTGAGGTCCTCATTGACATCCCATTAACATTAAATCCCAATCACCTTTGAGTGATATCATGTTCTACCATTTTTTTTACATTTGGATCTTGGATCCTATGATATTCCCGTAGATTCCCAAAAAATGTCCCCGTGGAAAATCATATAGGGTTGTTTGAAAACAAGGCTACCCCGCAATTTCAATTAAATATATTATATATACATTATATAAAATTACTTTACTTCGCGTGATCCCCACCATGACATTTATACATTTTGTTACTGGCAAATCTTCTGGCATTCTATCTGACATATCTTCTGGCATTCTATCTGGCATAGCTTCTGGCATTCTACCTGGCAAATCTTCTGGCAGATGTTCTGGCATATCTTCTGGCATTCCATCTGGCATTCTATCTGGCATATCTTCTGGCATTCTACCTGGCATATCTTCTGGCATATTTTCTGGCATATCTTCTGGCATTCCATCTGGCATTCTATCTGGCATATCTTCTGGCATATTATCTGGCAAATCTTCTGGCATTCTATCTGGCAAACATTCTGGCACTTTATCTGGCATATCTTCTGGCATTCTATCTGACATACCTTCTGGCATTCTATCTGACATACCTTCTGGCATTCTATCTGACATATCTTCTAACATTCTATCTGGCATATCTTCTGGCACTCTATCTGGCATATCTTATGGCATTCTATCTGGCATATCTTCTGGCATTCTATCTGGCCGTTGAGGTCCAGCGGTGCACACTGAGGTGGGCAGGTCCCAGGTTGAGGTCCAGCAGTTCACACTGAGCTGGGAAGGTCCCAGGTTGAGGTCCAGCGGTGCACACTGAGCTGGGCAGGTCCCAGGTTGAGGCCCAGCGGCCAGGTTGAGGTCCAGCAGTGCCCACTGAGCTGGGAAGGTCCCAGGTTGAGGTCCAGCGGTGCACACTGAGCTCGGACGTTGGCGAAGAGCTTGGCGAAGAGTTGGCAAGGCAACAGTGGACGTGGAAGTGGAGGCAGAGGTGGTGGAGGAGATGCTGGCGGAGGAGGAGCAGGAGGAGCAGGAGGATAGCTAGCCGAGGAGGAGGGGGAGGAGAACAACTCTGATAAAATCTAACAACCCTCACCTGGCAGGTGGGGAAAAACACACCTGAGCGTATACCGTATACATGATTTTCAGATACAGCCATATCTCATATTAAGATTTATTAAGTTGGTTATATGTCCCATGGGATATTTCCCTCCAAAAAAATGTTGATATCCCCCATCTGATTTGCTCAAACCTCATGAAATCGCATGAATGTCCCATAAATTCACATCAAACTCCCATAACATCTAATTACATATCCTTTAAAATCCCATAAAGTGCCATAAATTCTCATCTTACATTCCCAAATCCCATAAAAAATCACATGAAATTTCCGGTTGAATCCTATGAAACGGCCCTCCGCCGGCCCTCGGCGCCGTTTCGGCCTGGCCTTTCCGTAGCAGAATCTCGGGCGCCAGAAAGGCCACGGAACCACAGAAGGATTTGGTGCCGCGCTGCCCCACGCCCTCCTGCGACAGGAGGGAACCAATGTATAGCTACAGAAAGGTACAATATATATCCCATAGGATCCATGGTGCTGGTATATATGCTAACATGACTGGGGTATATTGATGGGATCCATGTTACCATATATACCATACATGGATCTTATGGGTATATATATATATATATCCTCTGGTAAACATACAAAAACATATTGAAAATGGCCCATTTATAGTTGATTTACCTATAAAAAAATGGTGATGATATATAATCCCTATGGATCCAAATACCTTCTTAGGAAGTGGGACTGGGGCATGATTTGGGGGGTTAAGTACCTTCTTAGACAGTGTTTGGATCCATGTGTATATATATATGTATAATAATATGCAATAGTAGAATATATGAGATAAATTACTTCACTTCGAATGATCCCCACCATGGCATTTATACATTTTCTTACTGGCAAATCTTCTGGCATTCTATCTGACATATCTCCTGGCATATGTTCTGGCATATCTTCTGGCATATCTTCTGGCATTCTATCTGGCAAATCTTCTGGCATTCTATCTGACATATCTTCTGGCATTCTATCTGGCTTTCTATCTGGCATATCTTCTGGCATATGTTCTGGCATATCTTCTGGCATTCTATCTGGCAAATCTTCTGGCATTCTATCTGACATATCTTCTGGCATTCTATCTGGCATATCTTCTGGCATATGTTCTGGCATATCTTCTGGCATATGTTCTGGCATATCTTCTGACATATCTTCTGGCATTCTATTTGGCATATCTTCTGGCATTCTATCTGGCCGTTGAGGTCCGGCAGTGCACACTGGGATCTGGAAGTCGCGGTTGAGGTCCGGCAGTGCCCACTGCGATCTGGAAGTCGCGGTTGAGGTCCGGCAGTGCCCACTGCAACCTGGAAGTCGCGGTTGAGGTCCGGCAGTGCCCACTGGGATCTGGAGCTCGCGGTGGAGGTCCGGCAGTGCCCACTGGGATCTGGCGCTCGCGGTTGAGGTCCGGCAGTGCCCACTGGGATCTGGACTGCGAGGAGGAGGAGGAGGACGAGGAGGAGGAGGATGCGGAGGCGGAGGAGGAGGAGAACAGCTCTGATAAAATCTAACAACCCTCACCTGGCAGGTGGGGAAAAACATGTATTCTTATATGATTACTATGTTTGTTAGTTTTAGTATGTGTGTTATTATGTGTATATGATGCGTATATGTATAATGTGTGTAAATATATCAGGTATATATAGACACACGTACTCTAAATAAAAATTGTATTGCGTGGAAAAGATGAGTATTGTAAATATTGTATAATATATATATATTGCATCTATATATTGTACATATATCCCGGATATATATATATATATGTACATATCTGGGTAAATTATCATATTTCACTAACCTGAGTTAAGGCCCACATACTTCGCAATCGGCCCTCCCCCAGCGACGGAACGCCGCAGAGGATGACCGGTCCAGAGTCCTGTACCCTCACAGCCAATGGTCAGACAAATAAGGAACAGACAGTCATCACATCGGAAACAAAAACCAAGCCTATGTAGACCAACATCACAGCAAAAGGCCCCACTTATAATGAGTAAATCATAGTCATCTGGGGATGATTTCCCTTATTGACCATGATTTCCAGTGAGGACAGTGAAATCGTGATGAAATTGACCCAGATATTTCCATTATATACCATAATATTCCCATCAAGAAAAAAACATTATATTGTCCCATTATTTCCATTGATCTCCATTAATACTAATTCATCACCACTAAGCACCATTAACCATCCATACATCATGATTATCATAACCACAACTATTTGTTATAAGATGTTATAAATATTTATAAACCATTCCAAACCACTATGAATAGGTATAGTAACATAGTACTATAGTTATAGTTTAAGTTATAGTTTAGTACTGTAGTTAACTATTCCAGTTGGTGGTTACCTAAGTAACCCCGTTAACCATTAACCACTAAGCGCCATTAACCATCCATATATGTTCATTGGTGCCATGGTGAACGCATGGGGTCAAATCATCCCACCATTGTGCTGCACATGTCTGAAATTTTAAAGAAGAAAAGACGCTGTTTTGACCATAGCGCATGTGTACATACCAATAAATACGTGTACAGAATTGTAATATACATACATATATATATATACAATATAATATATAATATATATAACATAATATATAACAAATCATATATCATATTTAATGTATAGTATATAACATAATATATAACATAATATAGTAGAGTATAGTATAATATAATATATTATAATATAATATATATAATAGTATATAATATATTTGAAAATTTTATATGGTATGATAGATAATATTGTATAAGAGATAATATTGTATAAAATACAATATTATATTAAAAATAAATATTATATAATATTAAAAAGAATAATACTATACAATATGATATATACTATAATACTAATATAATATAATACTAATTTAATTTAATTTTAATATAATATAATATAACTTAATAAAACAAATGTAATATGTATGAGTATATGCAATTATGAAACCTGAAATCAAAAACAAGATTTTTAGAACTTGTCTAGAAGGAAAAAACATTGATAAAACATTGGTTAAACATAGATGTAAAGGAACAACACATGTAGACAAATAATGATGGTACATGATACTCATGTTGATTCATGAAGATATGACAAAACAAAACATACGTTTGCACCAAATCTGGCCAAATTACTTTAATTCTTACCTCGTCTCCCTCGTGTCTTAATTTGTTCCCCATGATTACTGTCCTCGTTCGTTAATTTGCAGGTGCAAATTAAGGCTTTACCTCGTTAATTCGAAGGAAGAAAGTAGCTTGTGGGCCTTCTTTCCAGGGTCCAACCCCAAGGAAAAAAACTTTTCAGCTTCCGAAAAGTTTTTTTCCACGATCCACGGTCTCTTGCAGGGATTTTTAAATCTGAGTCTGATCGGTCTTTGCGCTTCTTGCGCTTGGGTGGTGACATCTCTGACATCATCGCAGAGATGCAATGCTCTTCTGGAGCAACTCTGAATGCTACTGCTTCTGCAGCCGTCAACCCACGAAGCGGGCCTCTGGCGATAGAAAATAAAACTTTTTGGGGCCTGAAAAGTTTTTTGATCCCTTCCTTGCCTGCTGACCGGCCTCTGGCGATAGAAAATAAAACTTTTTGGGGCCTGAAAAGTTTTTTGATCCCTTCCTTGCCTGCTGACCGGCCTCTGGCGATAGAAAATAAAACTTTTTGGGGCCTGAAAAGTTGTTTTTCCTTCCTTGCCTGCTGACCGGCCTCTGGCGATAGAAAATAAAACTTTTTGGGGCCTGAAAAGTTTTTTTTCCTTCCTTGCCTGCTGACCGGCCTCTGGCGATAGAAAATAAAACTTTTTGGGGCCTGAAAAGTTTTTTTAGTTTTTTTTCCTTCCTTGCCTGCTGACCGGCCTCTGGCGGTAGAAAATAAAACTTTTTGGGGCCTGAAAAGTTTTTTTTCCTTCCTTGCCTGCTGACCGGCCTCTGGCCCCCCAAAAAGTTTTTCTAGCCAAGCCCAAGCATGCAACAGAACCAATGCAAGGCTACCTCGTCGAGGTCGGCTAATTCTGATGAGCAAATTAAGGGCTGACCTCACTAATTCCTGCAACCTGCCTCGTTGCCTCGGCTGTCCTCGCTATAATTTGTGCAGACCAAATGCGGCTGGATGATCATTTCTTAAACTTGCAAGCGACTACATATATGAGAATATAGCAAACATTGTAAGTTTGTCAAAATAATATGGTGTAACAATACCCATATGACTCCATGTATGGTATATTTACCTGCAAAACTGGGTGATTTTGTTCGGGCAAATGTTGGGATTCATATTCCAGCACCATGGTTCGCATATGGGATACAGATCCCCAGTGATACCATATGGTTATTTAACATAGCCATGGAAAATCCCTTATAAATGGAGGTTTAGTTCGCTGGGAAAATCATCTATTTCTATGGGCCATGGCTTCCATGGCTATGTTAAAACACCAGTGGGGACACATGATTCTACCCTATGGTAATTTAAAATAACTATAGAAAATCACCATTTTCCATAGGTAAATCCACTATAAATGGACCATTTTCCATAGCAAACTGTTAGTTTACTGGAGGGTAATTGATTCTACGATGGGGGAACGTTGGTTTCACCAAGGTGGTGATCGAGACGCACCTATCCATAGATAGTGCAGCATAGCCATACTTTCCATGATTTGTAACGAAACTAATCATATTGTGTCAGTAAAGCAATAGGATTCACCATACCCAACTGACTTTAGACAGTATAAGCTATCACAATTTTGTCCGCGCAGCTCGCCCCCGGAAGTACATCTGAGAACGAGCCCCTGAAAGAATCGAAATTGAGGAACACAGCAACTTACCATCTGGCACACTTAACATATCTACGGCACCTCACCATTTTTTTGGATTTTAATGGGTAGATAATCTTTAAACGTTTTCCATAGCCATGTTTAGTTCCTGGAGGGTAAGTCTCACTTAAGTGTCAGCCATATCGTCGTTTAGCGCTCTTTTTTCGTCCAAACGCACTTCAGCGATGCCAAAACGGCAATTAAGCAGTGGTCAAAACCTAATCTATCACTCCTGGTTGGCTAAGACCAGGATTCACAGTACTTTCTTGATGATGATGATGATGATGATGATGGTCTTGGTGATGATGATGATGATTCAACCATATATATAATATGTATATATAGTTAATCCCATTAAACCACATATATATATATATAGTTAAACCATAGTTTATAATTCAACAACCATTTATCAATTAACACATACCGGGTTGTGAAACCCTTAAAACCATGGTTAAACCCTCGTCAAAACATCCATTTTTTCTGGTTGCTTTCCCCATCGATGATCTCCTTGGACAAGCCGAAGTCCGTCAACAAGGCATGGTGGGACTCATCGATGACCACATTGTCCTTATGGCACTCTTCGCCCCTGATCAGGCACTCCAAAATCATCACCAAATACCCATATGCTCCATGTATGGAATATGAATGCCAACATTTGCCCGAACAAAATCACCCAGTTTTGTAGGTAAATATACCATACATGGAGCATATGGGATAGGAAAACAAACATGAGTATAGGATGTTGATCAACTGTGAAAATGATTGGAACACATTAAAGACATGTCGGGATAGTCACAGTTGCCATTTGGGATTCGTTACCATTGGGAATGAGTTGTTGACCTTTGCGTTGGTCCTGAAGAATTCGGATCAACTGCTATGTGGGGCCCCAGTAAACGATAGCTAAGTTGGTTTATAACTCCAATAGCTACGGTTTATGATACTTAAATATACGGTAACTACATTTAAATATACGGATTTTTAAATATACGAACAGGTATTTTAGACTACCTCCGGGAAGGTTTTCCTTGGCCTGCCCAGCCATTTAAACATACGGAATCCAATTCATTTAAACATACTGCAACTACATTTAAATATACGAACTGGTATTTCATACTACCTCCGGGGCCTTGCGGTCTGGCCCGCCCTCCACATATTTAAATGTCGTTACCGTATAGCTATGGTTAATGGCAATGGGGTTTAGACAACTATTCATCCTCTGGGGGCATCGATTCGAGGATTCTTTCCACATTCTCCACATTCCAGTAGGTAAGCCGCTACACTCGGTAGGCGCATCTGCTGTCTCCACTCGGTTTTCGTTGCGGTTGCACCTTTGCCTCCCCAAATCTCCATAAACCCGAGTAAAAGAGATGCATCGGATCCACTTTATGAGTCTTGCGGCATTGATGGAACAGCCGGGTCTGCTAACTGCTTTTTGTGGCAAAACAGCCGGATTTGCAAAACAGTTTGATACAGTTTGGCAACTGGGTACTAAATGCATCTAAATGCGTACATTGACACGATCATGCCCTGCAAAACGTCAACTGTGGACACTGTGGATATCAGATGTTTTTTGTGGATATTGGATGATATTGGTACCCCTACGTTCACCATCATTCCATAAGGACCTCACTCTTGGGACGATGGCGAGTTCCTGTGAAATTCTTGTGGGATGAGCCTCCGGATGAGCCCCTCTGGGCTTGTTGCGCCATGGGGGATTCCCCGTAAAAACTCATGGCCAAAAAAAGGGGAACCTGATCTGGTTGGTGGTTTTTCGCTAGCCCTCTGAAAAATGATGGACTTCGAAAAAGATTGGATCATCATCCAGTTCCTATTGGGGAACATATTTCAGCCATGTTCCAGTCACCACCAACCAGTGATTATTAACCATTATTAACCATCATTAACCATCATTAACCATCGGAATCCATGGGATCTGCTTCTTTTTATGACCTCATCTCCGAGCCAAGGCAACCGAGCTGCAGGTTTCAAATCCCGAAAGACTGTATGCCTGGTGCGATCGGCCGTGGATTTTTCTATGGCCGAGAACTGCTGATTGTACAGTTATGGCCCAAGTGAAAAACCAGTTATAAGTACGAATAGAAAACCCCATTTATAGAATATATAATCCCATAGAAATAACCAGTTATAATTGATAAATGGCCATAACTGTAAGAGGTGATTTTGTTTGAGCCATTAAATACCTGGTTGGTGGTTTTAACTCCTCTGAAAAATATGAAAGTCAATGGGAAGGATGACATCCCATATATGAAATGGAAAATAAAAAATGTTCCAAACCACCAACCAGATACCCATGTTGTGTCTCAGTCACTGAGCAGTAACTAATTCCATGGCTCTAAGTAGGGCTAGGGTTGTTTCTTGTCGCAGTCGAGGAAATGTGGATCAATAAGTAAGCGACATCAAGGTCGGGATGTAAGTCAGAGAAATTAAGCTTTCCTAAAATGGGGGGTACCCCTTTATTTTTTCCATTTGAATAGGATTGTCCATTATAAATTAACATTTATAAACTCTATAGATGTTGGGGTACACCGGTACACCCATTTCAATTTCTGGGAAATCCCTCTGGTTGGTGGTTTTTCGCCACCCCTCTGAAAAATGATGGAGTTCGTCAGTTGGGATGATGAACTTCCCATATATATATGGAAAATCCACTAAAATTCATTAAACCACTATAATCCATATGAAATTCCCATATGGAAAGTCAGAAAAAGAATTCCAGTCGGTTCCAGTCACCACCAACCAGCCCTAAATGGAGATCCTACATCTCCAAGACTCAGCAATTCGAAAATTTTTCGGCACCCAATGCTGGATTGACCAAGCAGAATGCAGCAATGCTGGAGATTCATCAAAAAATACATATTTTATGGATAAACAATGATAAAAATGACATCATAAGTTCATGATGGTTCATTGTTAAAATTGTTATCCATAAAAAAGATAGGAAAACACGAATATATTCATCATGAACCTTCATCATGTTCCTCTTTTCTGGCTAAAAACGATCTCATGGACCAACTGTTTCCTAAGGTTGGCCCAAGCCAGCTCCGTGTGGGCCGCTCTGGGATGTTCTTTTCCTTTCTAATGGCGCAAAAAAAACATGGTCCAAATGGCAGGTTCTAAGAAAAACTGGCATCCTGGCATCTGATTTGGTCGGAAATGGATGGTTCGCATTGCAAGATGGTTCTTAACCCATGACGGATCCATGGTGCTGCTATGTATGGTAACATGGATCCCATCAATATATCCCCTTTATGTTAGCATATATACCAGCACCAGAATCCCACATGGTCACCGCCACACCTCTCGTGCAAATGAATCAGGGCCAGTAGGATCTCGGCCTCATATGCCCATGGGGCGGGGCTCCAACCGGCCTTGAAGTCATCAAAAGGAATCAAACAGTTAGTTATATATCCAGCTTTCAAGCCCAACAATTAGATTTTAGGATACTAGCTGTTAATGATTGTGAATGGAGTAAAATGGGATATAGGGTTCACTGTGTTAACTGATTAGTAACAGGGTTACAATCCATTAAATGCCCAGAAAAATCTTCCAGTTGCTAATCAGTTAACTAGTTGCAGAACGCCAATCTAAGTACAACTGACTGACATCTATGCATAGGGATGGACAATCATGGGCGGGGATATTTAATTCAATGGCCATTTCAGGAACCTAAATTGGAGATACTGTACCATATAAGGCCATATTTTGTGGTGATATTCACTTACATAGGCCTTATACATGGATATACATGGTAGGTACCTCCAATTTAGGTACCTGAAATGGCCATCCATATTTTATATATATATTTTTTTTTTTTACGGGCTACAGAACCAACATGAACCAACCATATGTGGCTACTTTATGGGATATAATTGATATAATTGGATATAACAGATGCTGGTGTCCTAGTTCAGAATTTCTATGTGCTGAGTATGAACCTATATGACTATTGAGTTTAGAGTCCTTTGGATGAGTTACCCGATGGTAAACGTTTACACAACTATGGAAAATTACCATCTTTCATGGGAAAATTCGCTATAAATTATGGCAATTTCCCATAGTTATGTTAAATTACCAGAGGGTTCTCAAGCAACTTTACTATCCGGCACCTGATTTCACAGGTGCCGGGTAGATCTGATTTTCTGGGGGTTGGTTACACCAGTTTGGGCAAGAAATAGTCAGTTTTCCACCAGGGGTTGGTACATGTCCTAATTGAACATCACCCAACTATGGGGAGATGAGACAACCAACAGATACTTGAAAGGACATTTACCAAGCCCTGTTTCACCTACTCAACCAACATCCTAGAAAAGCCAATGGCGGAAAATTAAGCCAGTTTCTTCTACCCAATCAAGGCTTGCAAGAAAAAAACAAGCTGAAAATCAATCCATTGATATCCCTCCTCTTCACCACCAGGTCTACCCAACTAGGACCCGCACGGAATAAAGACGTGACAGAGTCTCACAAAGTCGCTTCTCGCGAGTGAGCAGCTGCCTAGCGAAATTCCGAAATGGGAAGATTGCAGAGTTCAGCCCAAATCTCCCCAGTCGTACCAGCCATTTAAGACATTTAAAACATGTAAAGACCACATGAGTAAGACATGGTTTAAGACATGGTAAAAGGTTTATGCATATAGCAGATACCCCATACTAATCGGCTGATCGCACCCAATTGACACGTAGCAGATGTAGCAGATGTAGCAAAGAGAAAAGAAAAGGAAAACTATCCCACTTGATACGCAAAATAAGATAAATATGGATACATAAGTGGGAACATCAGATACATCTCACCGATTGGACCAACATTAGATAAGGCTACTGGGGCCTTCATCAGCTCTCTTGTGGAGAAAGTCAGATATTGGGCTTGGCAGTGGATGCCTGGTGGTTGAGCCAGCTACCCCTCTGATGCCCATGATGGAGTGAGTAACAGTTGGGACGATTTTTCCATTCCCAAAATATGGAAAAATAAAATTCCATGGTTCCAGTCACCACCAACCAGATGCTATCATGTGGTTGATAAACTCAATTCATAGTTCCAACTGGATGTATAGCTCCCTTCACCGCTCCCTCCATTCACCACTGAATGGAATGAGACATACTGTGATCATGTACACTGAGCCCCCGCACTGCAAGTTCCCTCTGGGACAGTAATGCCTTCAGCTGGAGGATATCAACTCCAAAAAATAATATGTATTAAGTCATGGGGGACCCCCAAGGCAACATAGGCTTCAATAAGTAAGTTACCGTCATCCATAACTTCAATGACTTGGGGCTACCTCCATGACTTGGGAAACCTCCAAATGTGCCGAATCTGTGTCTTTCTGTTTTCCAAAGGCAACATAAATATCGACAAGATTGCATATGGTGATTGGCCTCTGGTACAACAACGGCAATGAAGGTTCCAGTGCCCAAGATCAAATGCATAGCTCGAATCAACTCCTAGCTACAACATCTGTCACTAACATGGGTACAAGGTGGTGCTCCAGTTTAGAATCGCTCAGTTGGTCTAGAACTAGACTAACAGGCTTTATGGTGATTCTGAATCTACAGTTCACTTATTTAGGAGGTTAACAACCAACTTACTTTCGCTAGGGCGGGGGGCCACCACCTGCCACCGTCGCGTAGCCTGCTGATCCCTACTGCTTCCTGCTGCCAAGTTGCAACACCAAGACCAAGTGACTCGGTGTCTGAAAGGCATAGTGGAGTGAGACCTGACAAGTTTGAAGTGTCCGTTAAACACCAGCCTGTCAGACACCATGAAAACTGGTTGGTTAAGAACTGATTCCCGGATTCCCAGTTCATGAATGAAGATCATTCAGGATAGTTAATGATAATTCCATATTATGTAATTAATGCGAACGGATGCAAAGGGGATGTTCCTAATCCCCGTCATTATTATCAGCCAACAGGATTTTGGCAGCCACAGATCGTATGCAAAACATGTTTTTTCCACACCCACCAGGGAACCAACAAGCCCTAGTTCGCCCACCATGCAGGATGAACTTATGAACAAGTCCAAACATAAAGGCCAAAACAACGATTTCACAAGGCTGTGCGCCAGTTCATTGATATTAGCTAAGTTGGTGGTAATTAGTTCACTCATATTTCACCGGTTTATGGTAGATGTATCAAACTAAGGGAGTGAAACTAACCCAAACATGACCGCGCCATTTTGAAGAAACACAAAGGATCATGTCACAGGGATTTCCAAGGGAACATTCACCAGAAGTTTTGTCATCTTTGTCACGGCATCCGATTTCTGTTCCATATGTTTTCTGGCTCCAACCCGTCATAAACAACAGCAGTGAAGCATGGCTGAAGAGCCCCCGAAAAGAAAAAAAGACAATCTCCACTTGAAACTGATCGTCCCATTTTCAATGGGTAAAATCCATGGAAAATGTGTCATCACATATTCATTTATATTCAACCAGCAAAATCAGATATAGTTCCCATTTCCATATATATCCATATCCCCACAACAGCACTTTCCCCCCGTGCGGCACAATGTAGGGATGCCGGATGTAGGCCAAAATATTCCGTTCCGTCACGGCGTAGCGAAGCAGGTTGCTACTCATGATCCGACTCTTTTGCAAGACCTCCCGTGGTGGCCGGGCAGCCCGGGGAATCCCGGGGACCTAGATTTGTCATGATTTTTGTAACATTTTGTAACTCTGTAACCCATAGTGACATAGTGTAGATTTGATGTAACCTATTTGATTTCATTCGAGAGCTTGATGTGGTTTTCCCCCGCCTCATTGTGTCGTATTGGTGTAAGAAGCACACGAAAGTAGATGTAGACATTGGTAAAATCCTAATAAAGTAAGGGTAAATTTAAAATAAACTTGTTCTATCTTCTGGCTCAGCTAATACAAAACAACTTCAACAAGGCGTCATATCTGAGCAAGCAGCCCAACGTCAACAAAATGTGGATGCATCAGCGTGTGAGCAGTTGAAAGTTATTACCTATAATGGCTCAGGAATATTGGTCAGTTTTGCTTCATCCTGGTTCTGACCATCAAAATTGTAATACCCATATCGACCAAGGTCAAAAAAATGCATTCGTTCTGGTCATTCAACCCATTTCAGGCGAATCCTTACAATGGCGAATCCGGATTAATGGGTTCATGACAATCTTCCAATACACATATGCTCCATGTATGGTATAATTACCTACATTTGGATGATTTTTAGGGTAAATGTTGGAAAATATTCCATACATGGAGCATTTGGGATAAAGATAAAATCTTAATTTTTAAATCATAGTTGTTTGATACCACCCTGGTTGCTTGAAATAACTGGTGCCTCTCATTTGTCTGATCATAAAAAACAAGATCGGTGGGTAACTTGACCATGGTAGACCGATGTATTGGTGAGGTTCCCACCGATATTGGTGACTGGCTAAGTCAGTTTCCCAAAGGTTGGCATAACAAGACTCTGCGGGTGAAATCTGTGTGGTGCGTGCTGGCTAGAAGTCCCTTTTTGCTTATGGTTTCAACCCCATTCATTGTCCATATATAAACACTGTGTAATTAGCCTCTGGTGCAATGAAACAAGGCTGGGATATCCACTATGAATAGAGGTTTTAATGGCTAAATCATCTATCTATCTATATATATATGGATACTTGTCCATGTTTGGTTAGCAAAGGACATATTTTTGAGAACATGTTCGGCTTCCACCACCCACCTTCATGACTCGAATCTTATTATGACAAATGAGTAAACCATCAAACACCATATACACCCACCCAGCTCACCTTGCCTTGCGGTACACCATATACTACATGTGTGTTTTGTTAAATCCCATTTGTTCATAGTTGCATCATGTTACATCAAGTCACATCAGTAGTCTGCATCAAACAATTGAGATGTGTCGGCTTTAGGCCCGCCTTTATGGCACAATAAGAGAAATGTTCACCCATAAATCTAGCAATACGCTAGTAAATCTATATTAAACCACCATGTGTCGATCGGTTTTCCACGCACACAGAACGCAAAGGTCATCCTCAACCATTATCTACAGTTAATAAATGGGGTTATAGGTACTTATAACTGGTATTTTGGGCCATTATCTACGGCCATCATTCACTGATTCTGCCCATCAAAATCAGCAGCACACGTCCCGTCCTTCATCGCATAGGCTTTGCCCGTTCGCTTATGCTTCACCTGAAAGACCTCCCCGAAACTGCCACGGCCCAAGAGGTTCACCAGCTCGAAACTGTTGGGGCCCACCTGCCAACGGATCCAACAAAAATCGCAAAAACACAAAGAAAACGCAACAAAAAACATATCTCATCTCCAAAGTCCCCAATTTATCCAATTTATCCAATTTCTTGGTTTCGATGACCCGTCCTAGTCTCCTTTAAGGCCCCGTTGTTCGGTCGCCGCGGTCGCCGCCTGGCCTTCTCCACGCGCGAGCTGCCGCGGCGCATCTTGGCGAAGGGCGCTGTGCGGCGCGAGGTCACCGAGGAGCAGCTGGAGGTGGGCGACCGCGACGGCGAGTCTTTGGGCGACGAGGCCTAGCACTGCACCGGGCGGCACCGGCTGCACCGGGGGGTTTGGGGGGCTGAAAAAGCCACCGTTGGACGGCTTTAGGGTTGAAAACAACAGAGGAATGCGGATTGAACCCAAGAAAAAGTCTTGGTTGATTCATAGTGGGGAAGTTGGGACCTGAACTGTTGCGGTTTCTGATGTTGAAACGACAGTTTGATGGGGATAGAACTGGCGTGCACCAAGGTGCAGCTGGGATTTTTTGTGGGATTCACCAAATGCGATATTGGATACTCTGGGATATAATACAAGGTGGTGCCCCGGTGATATAGTTTTTGAGATGGACTAACATAAACCAACAAAGATAACGAACTTGGCCGTACCACCAGCACCACCTTATATAGAAATAAACGCATGCATAGAATTATATAATTGATGCAATTAATTGGGTCCGTTCTACTTCGATGGGCCATATGGGATTAGGTAACTGCTTTGTAACTGGGATATTGCTTGGTATCTAATGCCTTCCTGTCACTAGGAATTTAGCTAACCCCATGGTCCATCTGTAGTCTCATCCACAAAAAATATCAAACACCCCCAAAATAGTACCAAATATGTATAATTAACCTCTGGAAATCAAACATGACAATAGAAAATCCTCAACTATTATTCTAGTTGATTTTTTGAATTTCGTTGGGGGATTTCCTGCTGCCACGCTTGAATACCGTAGGGTAAATCCAGTTTCAATTCCAATCAAAGCCATGGTTTCATATCCCAAATGCTCCATGTATGGAATATGTATCAACATGTACCCCAAAAATCACCCAAATGTAGGTAATATACCATACATGGAGCATGGTTTCGTATGGTTTCTGGGGCCTTCCACGATCTGGCCGTCATCAGTTGCCGCGTCTCCATTTCCAGCTGTCGCGTCTTCTGCAGCAATCGCTGCACTGCATCGCAGCGCGCGTTGCGCAGCAGCCAGCCGCCCGGGATGCAGCTCCGTTCGGCATAGCCGTCCTCACCAGCGACACGGTGCCGGAGGGGCCCCCTGGATAGCTGCGGTAGGTTGGTTTATGACACTTCTAACTATATATTTAATATTATTTAATATGGAAGTATAACCCAACTTATAAAAGTCAAGTATATAAGTGATATGTTTTATCATCGTCGTAGGAGTTATTTCATCCAATGGCCATAACTGGCTTACAGGGCCTTAAAACTGCACCCCACAGTTCGAAGTTCGTTATATAATCCCAGTCCAACTGTTTCGAAGCAGTTATATGTGCATCCCACTTAGTAAATGGTTTATAATCCCATATATAAGCCATAAATTATCCTATATATAGGGGATATTCATGGATATTCCATAAAGAACTGGGGGTATAACCCATTTGCTAAGTGGGATACCTCCCTTAAGTTTTGCAGCGCAGCGCAGCTGAAGTCGTCCTCCTCAGTCACCTCCACCGCCTCCGACGCGCAGCTGCCGGTGGCCGTGCTTGCGTCGCTGCAGGCGCTGTTCCGGCGACTGCCCAAGAGGCTGCAGATCGCAGCGTCCTGGGCCAAGGGATATGATAGGGTTATTGCACTTATAGCCATTTATTAGTGATAACTGGTTATTTCTATGGGATTATACCTTCTATAAATGGGGTTATAAGTGCTTATAACTGGTAAAGGGCCATAACTGTAGGCAATATTCTAAATATCTGATGGCTATAATATTCAAGATATCCTGAATGGCTTCATAGGGATATGATATTACATAGGGATACATAGGGATATTGTTGGGACATGATGGTAATATGTTGATGCCATTGGGATCTTCTAGGGAGATCGTTGAGATATGTCATGGCAAAGTGGGAAATCCCCGCACAGAACCCTTACAAGTTGATGCCCCTTATATATTCGTTGGGTACCCCCCCATCAATACTAGTTCGTTATAAGATGTCATAAGTATCATAAACTGTAAAGTTATTGGATTTACACCATGTTAACTATTTTTTTTTTTTTTAAACAATCCAATTCTTATAAAGTTCTTAAACTAATCTGAACTACCAATATGAACTAATATAACTAATAAACTATGAGTTATGCCAAGTTAAACTAATATGAGTTATCCTTATACAGTAAACTAATATGAACTACCAAGGCACGTGGGTGGCGAATCGGAACATCATGGCGGTGCTGGCATCCGCAGCGGCTTCAGCGGGCCGCTGCCCAAAGCAGTTGCGATACCTGGGGAAGCTGATCGAAAGCCAAGCACCCATAGAAATCGACCATTGATGGGTGGTAAAATGGTGGTAAAATGGTGGTTACATGGTCGTAAAATGGTGGTTAAATGGTGGTTACATGGTAGCTGATGTTATATATATATATATATCACCATTGAGATGTATGAGAATAAGGTACACCAGAAGCAATTTATCACCATGTTCCCTCTTGAAATAGTCAAGTTCGCAATATGCCAATGTTCAGACAGGACTCTTTCTACAAGGTAGTGCCCCTTAGTTATATTCTTGTTTCAAACGATTTACTCATATTATGTTGTAATACCCAGACACCCAACATTTAACCTCAATATTACCCAACTTAGCTGACTATGGGGCACCACCAATTACAGTATATATGTTTTACTTGTATATTGTAGTATCATATCTAAAACTATATATAACTATATATATAAATAACTATTTTGAATATCATGTGTATATATATATGTATTCCTCTATTATATCATACATATTACATATATATATATATATATTATACATAGATATAATGTGTATTAAATATCATGTCCATATATATATATACACTAAAAAAACATGTGTGTATGTAATGTAATGCAATATAATGCAATGCAATGCAACACAACGCAACGCAATGTATCAATGTATGTATGTATGTATGTATGTATGTATGCATGCATGCATGCATGCATGTATGCATTCACGCATGGATGGATGGATGGATGGATGGATGGATGGATGGATGTATGCATTCACGCATGGATGGATGGATGGATGGATGGAAGGATGCATGCATGCATGCATGTATGGATGTATGTATCATACATGGTGACATGGACATATGTCTTATATAATTTACTATATAGATATAAATATTAAATGTAGTGAAATGTAGTGGTCTTAATCAAGCACAAATACACAGAACAATCATCATAGGGACATAGGAGCTTTAAGCATCCATAGACAGTGAGGTTCTATAGGGATTTTAACTGGGGATACAATCCCATCAATTGGGTTTAATCTCAGCAATCCCAAGATGGTGCCCACTTAAAAGTTTGTTGATCAACCCATTAGATGGTAGATATAATTAATGTACTACTTATTATAAATCTTATTATAAATCAACCTACATATCTTGTGGGCAGCACATTCCAAAAATAATGTGGAATTGTTCTGGCAATATCCAAAAAGAACTGGCTATAAACACAAATCTAAAATGGTATGCCAATTGTTGGTTGGCTAGTCAGAGAGCAACCAAATATCCACAACATGTTTTTCCTGGTGATATCCAACTGATTGTGTGTTCGGTACAATGGAATACGATCCCCATAGGCACAGAGGGATGGAAAAATGGCTTTGTCCGAACTGGGAGCAAGCCTCAATTTATGATAGCTTCATATACCCTCCTTGGTAAACTAACATAGCTATTGAAAATGGTCATTTATAGTCGATTTACCCATTGAAAATGGTGATTTTCCATAGTTATGTTAGTTTAGCTTCATATAACGGGAAAGCAACGCGAAGCCGTTAAGGATTTTCGGGGGGCAACCCGCAGCACATTTTGGGACGAACCCATGCCAAATATCCACCGGCAATCTGGTTGGTGGTTTCATACCACCAACAAAAAAGCACAGAAGCTATGTTTGATCATCAACCCATTAACCCAAATAAGATGGACAATTGAAAAAATATGGTTGAAGCCAACAACCAAATGCTTAAATCATCTTAAATCAACAAACACATTTCCTGATTGGTAATACGCTATTTCTTTTTGGTTGCTCTTCACAGTTGGTTTTGATCCATATCCAGAACCATATAACAGCAACTTTGATTAAACAAAAGGTGCTTGTGTACTTTGCCCTTTAACAAATGGTTGACTTTGCCCTTTAACAAATGGTTGACCCACCAAATAGAAATTGATGTTTTACCGAAAACCATGGTACCAACGTACACACACTTGTACTCTTAGAGATAACCTACACCTATAAGGGGAGGGCCCCCCAGTTATAAGTTGGTCTACGTACCCCATTACTGTATAGTTATATTCCCCATACACCATAGTAAACCAAAGTTTAAATAACTCTTACTAGTAGCTATCATAAATCAGCTATAATCCCATTAAATCCCATTAAATCCCGGTTTTTTGGTCAACTCAGCCTCTTCCTATTCTTTTTCGTCCGCATTTTGACGACGAGAGACATCAGCTGGTTGCCGTCCTGGTGCACCAAACACTTGACGACCTCGCCGTGGCCATTGGCAGCAGCATAGTGCAGAGCGATTTGACGATCCTGCGGTTCCAAATGGATGAAGAAAGTGGATGGATGCCCCGGAGAGATGCAAAATTTCATGAAATTTTAATGTTGAAATCCAAAATGTCCATTTGTTGATTATTGATCTGGGGGTTAAGGATATCTCTGAATGGGGGTTAAGGATATCTCTGATTATTGATGGGAAGTCTGGAAAATCAGAATGGGGGTTAAGGAATGTTAAGGAGATCTCTAAATCACCGAAATGATTCGAAGAAATCCAAATTATGAAAGGTTGAAATATTCATGATAAAACGGCGGTTAAAAATGCCGAAGGATGGAGAAATGCATAAAAATCATGATGTTTTGCGTATTTTCTCAATGATCCAGTTGAAGCATGGATTGATGGTATAGCTAGACGTTCCAATTAAAGTCTGGATTCTGGATTGATCGTTGCTACCTGGGCATCCCAAGCATGACCCTTTTGTTATCCAAAATGGGCCACAACTTAAATTTGACTATACCCAAAGCTAACCCCATTCTTCAAATCACCCCCCAACCACGTTAATTATAGCGGTAACTCACATTTATTCCATTTGACCAAGCATTACTGGTACCTGCTTTGCATACTGACTTAAAGGATCCAAGGTGTTCACCATCAGTTGGTTATATCTGATGTATAGTATAGACAAAGGTTGAATGTATCCAAATATATCCCATAAATAGTATCCCACTATGTCTCATAATATTCTGTTCAATCTCACTATATCTGACTATATATATATATATACATAGTATACTGTGTATATGTATAAATATATTTCATTATACATATACATATACATATACATTGAAATATACTTATACATATACATGTTTATACTGTGTATTGTAGTATATATGGTATACTGTGTATTGTATATATATGTATATATATATATAATCAGCATACCCTTTGATATCCCACGGGAATATCCCATGTCCCATTTCTCCGTCCTCGGTCTGACACAGCACATCCGCATGTGCCGCCAGCAGATGCTCCACCAAGTCCACCGAGCCCTGAGCTGCCGCCACGTGCAGCGGCGTCAGTTTCCCCAAACGCGAACGAGCGTTGACCTCGACACCAAAGCACCGGACGATGCTGAAGATGAGGGACGTGTGGAAAACCATGGGAAAACCATAGGAAAACCATAGGAAAACCACAGGAAAACCATGGGAAAACCATGGGAAAACCATAGGAAAACCAAAGGAAAACCAAAGGAAAATGGATTTTTTACCCTCTGGTTTCTACAGTCCGAAAAAACTATGGAAAGACCCACCATGCTATTTTCACGGGAAAATCTACGATTTCGACTGGGCCATCGGCCATTTTCAAGTTCGCAAACTCTTAGTTTACCAGAGGGTACTGATTTCGATGGATTTAAGGATGATTGAGTTGATGACTTCCTGGTGATTTTAGATGGTGGTTTCATGGATTAGGATTTGACTTGATTTCTGAGATTTCATGGGGAGTTGTTTATGCATTTAAAGATTTGATAGGAGTTTAATGATTGGATTGGGTATTGAATGGGGATTTGAACTGATTAAGGGGATTTCAATTCAATTTTTGATTAATTATAATGGATTTTTGAATACAATCAAACAAATCGATAGACATGGTACAATGGTTCACGACCATATTTAGTCAATTGGGGAAGTGTGAATTGTCAGCATTTGCTTGGGGCATTTATGATTCGTGTCCGTTTTCGCCTATTGAATCCGTCCACTTTCATTGCACCATCCATATCTATGATCGACTAATATGGGGCTGTCTCAAAAAAATGGAACACCATGAATTGTTAATATATGATTTGAAATTGACTTTGGCCTTTGATCATCATTTCTTTTCCCGTCTTCGCCCATAGCTATCCCCATTTGAGACAAAGTCAGATCTTAACGCTGCAAAACTCTACCAAACCTCAGATGTACCCGGCTGTACCCCACCCCCCCCGGTTTTTTGGGGATTTTGAAATTGGATTCAGCCCATGAAATCTCAAAGTGAGCTAGGAGCTGGGTTAGTTGACTGGCCACCATGGCTTTAAGCCTCTACGACCTTGATCGGTGAAGGACTTCCAACCCAGGTGTCCTCATAAAAGCTGCTGATATGAAAAGTAGTTCCAAGACCAAGCCAATGAGTCAATATAGTTAACATATATATATATATATACACTAATTTATTTATTCTCGGCATGAGATCTTCTCAAGGGCCAAAAGAAAAGATATATTTATTCCTTGAAGTTCAACCGTCCAATGACAATAGAAACCAGCTTCCTATTTGTGACAGTTGGCCCGACCGCAATTTCTGGAGACAAAACACTATTTTGTCCAAACCTTGGAACAGAAACAATCATAGAGAATCGTATTTTCAATTTCCAATCATAGTATTTCCAATCACATCCATATTTACCTACATTTGGATGATTTTGAGGGTAAATGTTGGCAAATATTCAATACATGGAGCATTTGGGATAAAGATAAAATAGTATCTTAAATCATAGTTGTTTGATACCACCCTGGTTGCTTGAAAAAACTGGTGTCTCTCATTTGTCTGATCACAACAACGATCACCTTTCTCAGGGCACTGCGAAATCGTCACAATGGCAATGCAAAATCTCGACAAATTGAAGAATCTTTAATTGCCATGTTGAATTACCCATATATATATATTATTATTATTATTATTATATTTCATGTATCCAGATTTTCCAAAATATGTTTGGTTCTATATATCGCTAAATATCACTAAATCATATTAAATCGAACAGTTTTCCATTGAATCGCATGACCCTCCCATATTATATCCCATCATGTGTATATATATATAAAAATAAAGACATCCAATTATATCCCATTACAGGCCCATATTCTTGCAATCTCCCAGACATATACAAAGCAACATCTCTCGCCAGCAAATTCCATGAACTGTTCACCCTTCACCCCGTCAAAAAGTCACCCACGCACTTTCTGAACTTTCAGCGGTTCACATTGGCTCCGCGCTGGAGTAAGAGTTCCACCACTTCGAGATGTTCGGAGGCCACAGCAAGGTGCAACCTTGCTGGTTTGATCAGTTTGATCCTCAACAACAACTTAAGACGTTTAAGAGGATCAAATATGAAGTACCAATCATAACTGGTTGGTGGTTTTTCGCCACCCCTCTGAAAAATGATGGAGTGAAAGTCAGTTGGGATGATGACATTCCCAATGTATGGAAACATAAAACATGTTCCAAACCACCAACCAGAAAATAATGGAGAATGTGATTTAACCAATAAACATAGTGGCAAAACGATTTCAACTATTGACCTGATGCATATTTACGATGTATTATTAAAATGAAAACTGGTTAATTTGAATGGTCTGTTCAAATAATTATAAAAATTGCTATTTTCCATCACAATCGGGATATAAATGAGGATTGACTATTTTAACTATTTCCTCATAATACCTAATTGGGTTAAAAGATTCTTGGGGGTATTTAATCTAGGGGAGCAGGGAAATTGGTCGGCAAGTCCAACCCCAACAAAAAACACGAAGAGTCTACCGAAAGTCTGTGCAATTTGGTGTCCGTAGTGCTATGTTTGTTGGCATTTGGTACCCCATCTAGCTGTAGTTATTTCATCCACATAGACCATAGTTATATTATGTTATATAAGTTCTAAACCAGACTTAGCTACCTAGAAATCAACCATCAACTACGATTCTTCTCTTGGAGAAATCCCAAGTTTCTTGTCGGGTAGCTGCCCATTTTACTGGGGCACCAACATTGGGGATAGCTCAAGTGAGACAACAACTCATCAAATGGGTTTGTCTGAAAATAGGGTATCTACAATTCCAGTGGATTATCGTCATTCTACCTACTAAAACGGCTATTTGTGGGTACCCTCTGGTAAACATACAAAAAAATATGGAAAATCACAATTTTTAATGGGAAAATCCACTATAAATGACCATGTTCAATAGCTATGTTAGTTTACCAGATTGTATCCCCTCTTCTCAGACCCAAATCCATCCAGCCACGCAGTGCGTCCCTTGCTGTGCCGCTGCTGCGCATTCGCCGCTGCCGGGGGTCCGCCGTCGGCCGGTTGGGTCAGCAGCTGACGGATGGCCTCCGCGTCGCCGTGGTCGGCGGCGTCCAATAAACGCTCGTCCTGGCGGATGAAAAACGAAGAAGTTGGGTTATAACCTCATCTAATCCGCCATAAATAGTTGTATCATATGGTGTATAATATGGTGTTATAATAAACAATAAGGATTATAATAAACAATATGGATTATAATAAACAATATGGTGTATAATATGGTGTTATAACCTCATCTAAGTGTAAGTATCATATGTTATTATACACCATCTTGTCATTATAGTATGTTATAGTTATAAACCAGCTTAGCTAACTATGGGGCCCCTTCCTGCAGGGATTTTACCGGTACTTTTTCTAGCTCGATTTATGGGGATTGGGATTTAAGTTTGAATTCAAACACTGAAAATATTGTGTGGGATATGTAGGAAACTATACATGAGGATAAACATTGATATAATATGAGAATCAAACTATGCATAACAAAACATAATATATTTGTATACAATCAAATAACTATGTATAACATAAAAATAAATGCACATATTGTGAATAGAGATGCACAACATATTAAATGTGTAAAATAAAGTACAACATATTGAACACAAGATACACAAGTGTGTATATATATATATACTCGTAAACATTTAAATACACACTTAGGCACATATGTATATTAATATACGTACATATTTTCATATACCTTTATAACATATGTATATAGACACAATATGACACAATAGATTCGTTTACATCATGTATATATATATATAGTTTCATATCATGCATAACCTTACCCCAATAGAACCTAATGCCATCCACAGTTGCTTGCGAACCGTTTAGATACTGTCGGGCGCAGTGGAAGGTATAACCAAGGTGAAAGAACACCCATTTTAAAGTTGGAATATGGGCCCTAGAACTATGGTGATCCGCTTGCAACTGAAAGAGCGCACTTCCAGTCGGACGACCCCATGGTCTGATTGTCCAGCCACACGTTACCCCTAGGGTGAACAGACATGGATATTTCCATGGATATTTACAATTCATGTTGCACAATGATCTAATAGTCTGTTTTTTGTTTTGTTTTTTTAAATGGAGATACATGGCGGATTCTCCACATATATAATCATCTATTAGGTCTCTCTCTCTATATATATATACATATACACCCTCTGGTAAACTAACATAAACCCTGGCAGTCATCGGGGTTGGAAGATTAGTTTCAACTAAACAATGGCTATATTTTCAGGGTCTATGTTAATTTACCAGAGGGTATATATATATATAATATATGCTTTTTGCAGGGCAACTCTGGCGAATTATGTCTCCGTTGCGCTCGGATGGTCTATTCGGTTGGCTTTTTTGGCTCGGTGGGTAAAATCAGTGGATTTTCCAGCCAGCCACGTTTGAGCTACGAGAAGGTCATCTAAAAATTTAATAATGTGGTTAAAGCAATAATGAACCACCCATTTGGGAATGGTTTATAGCACCTATCTATGGTTCATTCTTGTTTTAACATATTTTAACCACATTAGCCTCGTGAACATCAGAATAGCTCTAGTTGATGCTCCTAGATGTTCATTCCCAACATTGCTGGAGGACTTGCAAAAACATTCACCACGCAGAGAAGTTCATCGACATCGTGATCTGGGGTCGCAACATAATCCAGATATATTGATAGTTCTCGCCCCAGTATATCTATTTATATCCCGATTGCATCCCCATCTGTTGATGCTGAATAAAAGCCATGCTTTTTAAGACATATGGTACAATACATGCGCCATGGTGAAAAGATCAAGGGTTTATGGTCATCCCACCATCATGAATGGCATTCCATTACTACCGGGTCTAATTATAAAAACCTTATGAAAATGATGATTCCTATTCCCAAATCCAACTTTTGACGCTGAGGGATCAAGCTGACCTTGTGGCGCTTTTCGGACCTGGCAGCACGGGCTTCCTGCAGATTTTCCAAAACCATTTCGGGTCATGAAGGGTCTCATAAGCAAAATGGCTGTTGGTTTCAACATGTTTCAAGCCACAAAAACAGGAATCCAAGGTAAGATCCAAGCGCTCTTGACATCAGTTCAGTTTTAAAAGCTACTGCGGGTTGGTTCAACTGGCCCACTCGTATCATCATGATTGGTTTGACCCCTTAGATTCTTGGCAAGACCTTGCCAAGCACTTGGGAGCTCAGCCCTTGGGAAACTCTCAGCAAATTTCTCTCAAGGCTAAGGGCGGCTTAGCGCTTGCGATTGCCTGGAAAGCTGCTATACAATCACAGCTGGCGCTTGCTACCCTCTGGTTATTTGTTACATAGCCATGGAAAATGGCCCATTTATAGATGGTTTACCTATCAAAACTGATGATTTTCCATGGCTATGTTAAATAACCAGATGGTAAGTAATTCTAACAGCCAATACTTATAGTTGTGCTGCACAATTCCCAATTATACTATAAGTATGATATCCCGCATACTTCTGTATTATACTTACAGGTTACATAGTAGGTGTTATATCCCAATTCATCCCTATAGAAGTAACACATACACATACTATATAGGGTTTTTTACACACTATGATTTGACATCTAAATATCCTAATGATACCATCTGGTTATTTAACATAGCCATGGAAAATCATCAGTTTTAATAAGTAAACCCAGGTAAACCATCTACAAATGGGCCATTTTCCATGGCTATGTAACAAATAACCAGAGGGTATACCTAATGGTAGATCTGATCGTAGGTGTTATATCCCAATTAGGGCAAGATATATAGATAGTAGAATATCTAGATCTATGATAGGTGTTATATCTAGATATAATGGTAAATATTTTCTCTAACGTATATCCCAATTAATGGCTTCGCTCCGAGAAGTTTCTTGCCCCGTCGTTCTGCGTTCTTCGAATTCAGCTGAGAGCCCCAACCACCAAAGCTTCCACGGACGTGCACGGTGAAATTTGGGCTGACACAGCTTTCCAACCTCATGGAGTGATGCAACCTCTACGGCCTTTCTTGGGCCCAACACTATTAATGTTAAAATCCTATGTGTATGATATGAAATAGCATGGTAATTCATAGTATATACATATATGTGTACATATATGTGTAATATGGTGTATGTATACATATATATATATATATGTATACGTATATAATATATACTTGTACATATTATATACACCTTCAATATCCTTCAATGTCCATTTCAGGTACCTAAACTAGAGGTACTGTACCATATCAAACCATAAAAAAATGTGGCTATTTTCCGTGAAATCTAGCCCTTACATAGACCTGAAATAATTTTAAAAAAACTACCTCCAATAAATCGGTTCTTGAAATGGCCACTGACACCGTATTCAGAGTAAACATTGGTGTAATATTCATCTGCCCTCTTTGCGAACCACAAATCATCTCCCAAGATCCCTGCGGCCTGTGCGGCCCCCCCAACTATAAGTTGGTTTATAATCCCATGAATTAATAATCCCATTCATTACTCATCATTCTACGAGGGCGTATCATAAATCATAGAATTAGTGGCTTACAACTTGCTTTACAAAGCCCATTAAGTATAATTACGTATAGTATAACTTGGTTTATCTTGCTTTACAAAGCCCATTAAGTATAGTTACGTAATAGTTACAAGTACCATAAACCAGTCATGTGGCACCCACAGTTATAACATGCTATAACTTGGTTATAAACCCCATTAAGATCCATTAAGTGTAATAACTATAGTTAGAAAATGTAACTATAATTAGTGAGAAAAATGTAAGTATAGTAGTATAGTTACAAGTACCATAAACCACTCATAAACCATAGTGACATTGGAGTTCTGTGGCCCCCAACTTGTCGCTTTTTTTGGGCCACCCCCGGGCTCCGGACAAAGCTTTCCGTGAGACTCTCGGGCACCATGGGGCGCTCCTGGGGCTGCCAATGCACGGCATTGCGAAAGAGTCATATCGTTCGCTGATTTAGTATATTATATACATATTGATATATATATATATACATAATATATATAATATATATATAATTATGTACAATATTGTTTTATATATAATATATATAGTATATATTTATAATATATAGTATATAGATATAATATATATATAATATTATGTATATAATAGATAGATAGATAGATAGATAGATAGATAGACAGATAGACAGATAGACAGATAGACAGATAGACAGATAGACAGATAGACAGATAGATAGATAAGATAAGATAGATAAGATAGATAAGACAGATAGATAGATAGATAGATAAATAGATAGATAAGATAGATAGATAGATAGATAGATAGATAGATAGATAGATAGATAGATAGATAGATAGATAGATAGATAGATAGATATAGATAGATAGATAGATAGATAGATAGATAGATAGATAAGATAGATAAGATAGATAGAGATAGATAAGATAGATAAGATAGATAGATAGATAGATAGATAGAGATAGATAGATAAGATAGATAAGATAGATAAGATAGATAAGATAGATAAGATAGATAAGATAGATAAGATAGAGATAGATAAGATAGATAAGATAGATAGATAGATAGATAGATAAGATAGATAAGATAGATAGATAGATAGATAGATAGATAGATAGATAGATAGATAGATAGATAGATAGATAGATAGATAGATAGATAGATAGATAGATAGATAGATAGATAGATAGATAGATAGATAGATAGATAGATAGATAGATAGATAGATAGATAGATAGATAGATAGATAGATAGATAGATAGATAGATAGATAGATAGATAGATAGATAGATAGATAGATAGATAGATAGATAGATAAGATAGATAGATAGATAAGATAGATAAGATAGATAGATAGATAAGATAGATAGATAGATAGATAGATAGATAGATAAGATAGATAGATAGATAGATAGATAGATAGATAGATAGATAGATAGATAGATAGATAGATAGATAGATAGACAGACAGATAGATAGATAGATAGATATACATGGATGATTTGAGATGTGCCCCGATCTTGGGGGTGGACATCGATTTGGGGTTGCAACCGTAGCAAGCACTCCTCTCTCAAGGGTCCAAAATCAGCAAGGCATTTGGGGTTGCACCAGAGAATGTCGTTTAGAGGTATCCAATTGTTTCGACCACATGATCACAATTGTATAGCAGCAATCTACACTTGCAACAGTAACTCAGTTTCATCATGTTTGGTTTCTTCAAAGGAGAAGAGTTCCGACGCCAGAGGAAAAACACCTTGCAGAGGCTCAGCAAATCCAATTTCTTATCTTTTGTCCATGGGTAACCTCAGATACTCAAAAAGAAACACATTGACACTGTCAATATGTTCTGAAGCCTATGGCGACCAACAAAAAACAATCCAGTCGGATTACCATGTTGTTTGTTGGTAAATCATATGCTAGATCCAAATCGGTACATCAATTCCTAGGTAAATACGGTAAAAAAAATGAAAGCAACAACATGGTCAACATACTGTGGATGGGCCAGCGAAATCCAGTTGTCACCAGTTAATGGTAAACATCCCATTACCCATAGGATCCATGTATGGTATATATATGCTAACATTTACCATCAATATACCACAAATGTTAGCATATATACCAGCACCATGGATCCTATGGGTTCTGGGTTTCAACCATCCCAAATTGGTGGTGCAGGATTTCGCAACGGCCCATCCACCGTATGATCCACGGAATCCACAAACCTTGGCGCAAGAATGCGATGCAACTCACCGCAAGCTGAAATCATACGAACGGAACTGTTCCATATCCCATTAGTTAGTGATATTTCCATTATATGCCAATTATGTTTCAATTATTCCATCATCCCAGTTGTTATTTTTTTTAAATCTAAATCCCAGAAAATTATTAAATGTATCGTGGATATATATATATATTCCATGTCAATGATACATGATATCATCCAAATTTCTATCATCATATTCCATATTTCATATTCCATATCCCTGTCATTATATGTAATATTCCATATATTTCTATCAGATCCCTCAAATCCATTCAAATCCCTCAATTCCATTGCTGGCAATTATTAACCAATGTTTAGCCATCATGAAGCATTTTAGCATGATTTTCTACCACACAACATTAGCAAAAATTTTGCTGCAAAATCCCATCGAAAGTATCGAAACATTCCCTCCTTTTACATCCTCCTGGCCTCCCCGGTATCCAGATTCCGGAGGCTGGAGTAACCACTCACGTCCTGGACGCTGAGATCACCGGTCGTTTACCCAGATCGCACCCGGATGGTACCCCAAAACAGCTGGATGGATGTTTCCCAAGATCCCCGTTTAGATCCCCACTAGCCTCCGGGAATTTCGTACACTTTGCGAACTTGAAGCCATGGCCCATTTATCGTATGGCTAGTTCCTTGATTTACCTATGAAACATGGTGATGTTCAATAGCAAACTGTTCGCTTACCAGAGAGCGTTCCCCGAAATATGGTACAAATAGGTTTTGACGCATCCCCACTTAGCATTTGTAATGGACATTCATGGGATATTGATGGGACATTGATGGCATTGATGGGATGTTGTGATTTTATAGAGATTTTATATCTTGTTATATGTATAAATAGGGATTTCATGGGATATTGATGTGATGTAATGGGATTTAATGATTTACTGGGACTTAGTGGAATAGAATGGAAAATCATGGGATATAAGACACGGTGATGCTCCTAATTTCTTTACGTTACCGCACACCACCTAACAATCTAGTTATGCCGCCACCACAAACGCATTAGTGAACTAAACCAACTTAGCGTTCACGACCTCAGGCTCCCCCTTGAAGTAATAGCATAATCATCCTCACAACCGTGATATGGACACTATGTGGGCTATTAGACACTGGCTAACATAGTTTGTATTTTTTCGGATCAAAGAACTTGGGATAACCAGTGTAGATCGTAGATAAGTTTTTGTCCAGATCATAGAACTTTTCCAAATTAGTATATTTCCAGATCATAGATAACGCTATCCTCATATACTCTCATTGTTTTGCAATTTGGAATACCTTCATACAACTTGGGATAGCCTTATCTAACCCCAGTACAACTGCTATTTCAAGATATAAGGTGCAATTCCTGAGGAAACTTCATCCACCTTGGTTCAACTTCGGACATCTGTTAAGCTAATTGAAATTCATCTGTATATATATATAGAATAATATCCCCATGTAATAAGAAACATGATCATAGATGGTGATTCATTATCCTTGACTTGAATGAATACAATGGTTCAAGTCCATGAAAAGAATCAACGCATTGTTGCAAATGAACATAATCCTATTTCGGCATCCATCTTATCATGCTTATCTGCAGTTGAATAATGTTAATTGCATGTACATATCACCTTAGCAACATGTCAAAGAAGACCATCTATGATACCATCTGGTAATAAAACCGTCTGCGAATAAACGACCCAAATTACTTTGATTATTATCTACCTATTGAAAAAGGGTGAAGTTCCATAGCTATGTTCAATGACCAAACTGTAATGGATAATCAATCGGGGATATTCATTGCTTTTCAAACTTGCAGCGATCAGAGGGTATCAAGCTACTCAGATGGGCAATGGGATTAGTGAACTGATTAGCAACTGGAATCGAACTGAGTATCTAGTGGGCTATAACCACGTTACAATGTGGGCACCCCAGTTATAACATGTTATAACATGTTGATCCATTAAGTGTAGTAACTATAGTTAGAACATGTTAAACATACCATAGTGACATTGGAGTTCTGTGGCCCCAACTTGTCGTGATTTTGTTTTTTCCGTTGCTACCATCAGCACGAGAGAGCTGACCTCAAAGACCGTCTCATAAGGCTCTTCGCATAAACTCCTGTGGCGATTTTGACCGGTAAAAAGAGCCTCCAACAAAACAGCCGCTATGAAATATTAGTTTGTGAAAACTATCTAATAATAATAATTTCACTATTAAAGCAGCTACTATAGTTTATTTCTTTACGTGGATGAACACTGCCTAAACGTGTATAAGTATATATAAATGTATGAGCCGATCCTACAAAAAATCATGTATATATAATGTATATATATATATATAATGTATATATATATAATGTATATATATTATTTACATTATATATATATATACGTATATATGTGTCATTATTTGCTGGCTATACTACGTACTGTATATTATGAGCCTACACATCAAAATAATATCCTTTGGCAGGCTGCTTATATCCGGTATTGACCCGTCAACTGGGCCAACTCATACAAGGTCATGCACCAGGTCGTTCGCGGACAGAACCCACTGTTGTTCCATGAAATACCCTCTGGTAATTTAACATAGCTATTGAAAATGGCCATTTATAGTTGATTTACCCACTCAAAATGGTGATTTTCCATAGTTATGTTAGTTTACCAGAGGGTACTGGTTGGTGAAGAGCGGATTTCCCATAGTGGATTGTGATCATTCCCAAAAAAGGCGGTCGAATAATCCCAACTAATCATCAACCAACCATAATTTATCTGTTGTATCCACTTTTACCGCTTATATCCCTACTATAGTTGGAGGGTTCAGTGCATGACTACAATCAAGAATAATCCTCAACCAAGCGGGGTTTAGCAGCCACTGCCACCTCCTCCCACCCACTGCCTTAGGAGTGTTTCTGCAGCTTCCTGGGTGACAAACATCAAGCTTCACGTGGCGGTATGTTTAATTACAAATTAGATCTATGAAATGGATCTTTCATTACTAAGTTGTTCATCCTTTAGCGGGATGCAATGGATCTATGGAAATGGAGTTCATATTGGGGGTATTGAATACTAGGGGGATGGCATTGAGGATTCGCCACTGGATTTCAACCCCTACCAGTTGCAAGGTGTTGAAATCCGGTTACACACCATTTT